CAAGTCTGGCGCAGTAAAACTCCCTTGTAAGCAACCTGGCTTGGTCTGTATGCTCTAGGTAAAGGAGGTTCCTTATTGGCCCCAAGGGGGAAGGTATAAAGCTCTGAAGACTAATTCTGGACAGGACACAGGGGGAGGAGGGCTGGGGCTCACACAGGAGAAATAGGATGAAATGAGTGTGGAGACAGCCTTGGGGAGAAGACACATCGGAGAGCTGGAGGGGGACTCGGGGGCTTGCAGGGGATCTGAGGGGAAACCTGTGTCCTTGCCTTTTTCAGCTTCTGTTGACACTGCATTCCTGGGCTTGAGGCCGCTACTCCATCTTCAAGGAGCCTCCTGGCCTCACCGCCTCTGTCTGCACTCATCTCCTTTCTGCTGTGACTCTCCCTGGTTTCTGCTGTATGGATTCATGTGCGGACATGGCCTCCCCCCGCCCCCCAGACACTCCAGGATCATCTCCCTATCTCAAGTTGTTAATTGCATCTGCAAAATCCCTCTCTTGTAAGGCAGCAGCCCCAAGTTCTGGGAATGAGGAGGTGGAGGTCTTTCAGGGCTATTCTTCTGCCTCTTGCACTGGGAAGAGAACTAAATGATGTCACAGGGAGGCCCTTCTCTGTAATTTGGGGCTCTTTCCATACATCAATTTGCTTAAGTCCAAGTCCTGGGAGATATTGCCCCATGAGTTGCCCATTGGCGGTCAGAAACATGTGTATGTGGGCCTCCCTGGTGGTGCAAGGGGTCAAGACACAACCTATGGGGCTATCCACAACCTCTGCAGCACGAGTTCGATTTCCGGCCAGGGAGCTGCCCACATGGCGCAGCAGACCTCTCCTGCCTCACCCACTGCTCCCCTCAGCAGTGTATTTCAGTAGATTCGCCTTTTCTGTTCCCCACTCTGTCTCTGGTGATCCTCCCACCCTCCTGCACATCTGGCCTTTACCCCAGCTCTTGTATGCATAAATAAATCTTTTTTTTTTTAAAAAGATTTATTTATTTTTACACAAGAACCGGGGTATAGGCCAGATGCACGGGAGGGCGAGAAGATTCACCAGAGACAGAGTGGGGAACAGAACAGGCAGACTGACTGAAGACAATGCTGAGAGGAGCAGCGGGCGAGACAAGAGAGGTCTGCTGTGCCATGTGGGATTCTCAATGGCTGGCCGGGATCGAACTGGTGCTGCAGAGGCTGCGGACAGTGGCACAGTGCGGCGATTACCCTGTGTGGTGCTCAACCGCTGTGCCACCAGGGAGGTCCATAAATAAATCATCTTAAAAAAAGAAAAGAAACACGTGTGTACCAGAGTGTTTCCTGACATATTCCTGGGGCTCTCCCGAGCTAGGGGTGAGTGGAAGCTCCTACCCACCTTGCTGTTCCTGCCATCGTTTTCTCAACAAAATCATTGTCCAGGCCTCTGGCTGTTCTGTGAGGTCGGCGCGAGCGTGCCGAGCCTCAGGGTCTACAGATGAGAAATCACAACAAAAGCCAGAGTGGGGGAAAGGTGAGCGCACTTACCCCTGGCCGGAACACTCAGGATGGTTCAGCTGTTGAACTTAATGTGACTGATATTTTGCCCCAATTAAAAACAATTTAAACCAACAGACTGGAGTGGGCGAGAAGGCTGGGCGGTCATGCAGGGCTCGACACCCTGTGCTGTCACCCTGTGACAACCTGCTCTTCGGGGAGCTTCAGCAGTTCCTCTTCCTTTCCCTGCCCACCCCCACTTCTGGGTGGTTTCAGAGCTGAGCTACAGCTGCACCCCGGGGCCTTCCCCAGCCTGGTGGGTACTTGTTGACTGTCCTCCCAGCAGGAGCCTCCCTCAGAGGAGTCCAGCGGCCCCAGGCCATGCGGCCACGACCAGGAGGACAGGAGGACAGGAGAGGGGAGAGCAGCCACGCCTGGCTTGCTGGTGGCTGTGCCCACCTGCCAGCCCCTGTGCTGGCAACCTCTCTCCACGCCTTCTCGGGTCTCCCCACCTTCCTGTGCTGTCTCCTCTTCCTGTCGTCGTTGCAGGCGGCACGAGGAGGACCCGAGTGTGTGTGGATGCTCCAGGGCTGTGAAAATGCAAAGCTGCTCCCTCCTGGCTCTCGCCGGGGCCTGCGGGTGCAGGATTGGGAGTATGCAGCGGCTCCCCAGAGGGCAGAGCCAGGCACAGTCAAGCCCATGCTGCCCTCTGCTGGGGGCCCGCCTCATGGCCTTCCCAGAACCCAGAAGAAGCCCCAGAGAGGACTGGCCCAGGCAGCGGTCCCAAAGGGGTGTCTGGGGTCCAGGCTCTCCCAGCTGGGGCCGCAGTGTCCCTCTCCAGGGCCCCACTCTGCTGGCGTGGATGCAGGCCGGACTCTTCAGAGAGGGCCATTTCCAGGTGGCCGGCGTGGAGCTCACCCTCGGGCTGGGAGAGCTTCCCTGGTCCCCGTGGGGACCTCGTCCTGCCTGTTTCTCCTCGGCTGGTCTTTCCACCACCGCCACGCCCCACTTCCCATCCCAAACAGCTCCACCGCCCTGCTCGCTCTCCACCCCTCGCTGCCACAGTCTCTGGGGAGCCTGGTCAGCTCGGCTAGCGTCCTTCAAAGTCTGCCGATAGCCAGGAGCGTGATTCAAAACCAGCCTGCAAGGCAACCCCCCCTCAACCCCGTTCCTGCCTTCCTCCCCGCTCTGTGTCCGGAGCTTCGGCGTTCAGACACCAGGCAGCGCATCCCTGCAGCCAAACCTGGGCGCTACACCAGCTCCAGTGAGCTGTCTGACCCTGGGCGAGAGAACCCCGCTTCCCTCTGCTTCCTGATCTAGAAAATGGGGATCATAATAGCAACAGCACGATTCACAGGCTGCATGTAAATGACATGACACACGCAAGACACTTATCTTCATTTTTGCTTCCTGGGATTTCAGTTACTCCTTGTCAACCCAGGTCTGAAAATATCCTGTCCAACACGATGGAGGGAGGGAGGGAGGGGGCAAGGAGGAAGGCGGGCGGACAGAGAACATAGTCACAACTTTTAGAATACTATTGTATATTATTATTATAGAACAGTATTACTGTAATTGTTCTATTTTTTTCTGAGTTATTGTTGCTGTGCCTAAGGTGTAGGGATGGGTACTGTCTGAGGTCTCGGGCATCTCCTGGGGGTCTGGGGAAGCGTCCTGCTGGAGTGGCGGGAGAATACTGTATCAGGCACGCAGGTGGCCCCTTCTAAGTGTTGATCATCTCGATTCACTGAAGCTGGTGGCAAGTCTCCCCTTTGACTTGCTACCAATCTGATGGCCTGCGCTTTTTTTTCCTCAAAAATTTTATTTATTTATGTATACAAGAACCTGGGTACAGGCCAGTGGTCAGGGGGTGGGGTGAGAGGATTCACCAGAGACAGAGTGGGGAGCAGAACAGGCAGACTGACGGAACACACTGCTGAGGGGAGCAGCGGGTGAGACAGGAGAGGTCTGCTGCGTCATGTGAGTTGCTCCCTGGCTGTCCGGGGATCGAATTCGTGCTGCAGAGGCTGCGGATAGCTTCCCAGTGCTGTGCTCAACCCGGTGCACCACCAAGGAGGCCAGCTTGCGTTTTCACACGGGTGTAGTCTGGTCACCTCAACCTGGTTGATGTGTGGACTTCAGACACCAGAGGGGAAGCTGAAAGAGCAGGAGTTCGTGATGAAAGAGAGGGAGGTTTAAGTTCAGCAAGGCCCAGAGTAGCTCCAGGGACACCAGTGGTTAAGTTACAAGAAAGTCTCCTTTGAAAAGCAGTAGGGTGGGTCATCAACATGGAGCTGAATTTACCAGGAAAACTGAGGGGCTTGGGCTGAGCAGGAGGCTTCAGGGAAAGTGCTAAAATCCTCACTCTTTCTCCCAAGACCAGAGGAAAGACATTTTCAAATTCTGCTATTTGCAGTGATGTGGGGGGATCTTGAAGGGATCATGTGAAGAGAAATTAGCCTGAAAGATAAAGGCACTTTGTTCCATTTTTTAATTAATTTTAAATTTTCATACATTGTTGTTCATTTTTGTACAGCATTTGATTTTTCCCCTCAGGTGCAGTCCCCGAAAATCTCCCACCACATCATCTGTGAACCATCACCATGGTCCCTTTTCCACCACCTCCCCTGCTTTAAGCCTCAGATCTATAGTTGCCTACAAGTTTTGTCTTTTTTTTTTTTTTTTGAGCCTTTACTCATTTCCCCTGTATTCCTCCTATAAATGATATCACCCAGTATTTTTTTTTTCCTTCTGACTTAGATCACTGAACATAATCCTTTCTAGCTCCATCCATGTTGCTGACAATGACATGTTATCTTTTTTATTTTGATTTCTGAGTAGTGTCCCATTGTGTGTATATATCATATCTTCTTGATCTAGTCATCTGTTTTTGGGCATTTTGGTTGTTTCCATATCTTGGCTATTGCACATAGTGCTGCAATAAACACAGGAATGCAGGTATCCTTTCAAATTAATATTTTTGTGTCCTTCGGGTAGATTCCTAGCAGTGGAATTGCTGGGTCCCATGGTAGATCCATTTTTAATAATTTGAGGGTCTTCCACATAGCTTTCCATGGTTGTTGGACCAGTGTGCATTCCCACCAGATAAAGACACACATTGGATGGCTTTGCATATATGGGGAATATAAAGAAACGAAATCGATGAAATGACAAAGTAAAATAAAAACAAATTAGTGAACACTGACAACTGACCTGAGGTTACCAGAGGTGAAAATGGTGGGAGGAGGGAGCAAGGGTGAAGGGACCTCAAGTATGCTGGTGGGGATTATGGTTTTTGTTTTTTCTTACCGTTTGATCTTGGGTGAAATATTTTTTTTTCCTTCTAAATCACGGTCTTTTAAGTGTTGAGATTCCTTTGTTCTCCAATTTCATTTGTGCTAGCAAATAGTTCTGGTGGTGGAAGGGGCACACTTCCTTCCTCTTGCCAGGAGGGGGCGCAAGAGACTGCAACAGAAGTGTCAAACCCAAAGCCTTCTGAACAGAAAGCAGACTGAGCCCACCCCCCGCCCCACACCCCCCCATTTGTTCTGCCCTTTTTCAAGTCAATGTCCTTCCCAAGGCAGCTTGGGGTGGAGCCTGCCTGAGGATTGGTGCACCTGGCTGTCCTCATCAATTACCATTAGTGTGGTAGATTAACACAACACAACTGTATTGTCTCCCTGTTCTGGAAGTCAGACATCCAAAATCAAGTATCTTTCCATACATTAGGTTTTCTTTCATTTTTTAACAAAGTTTTATAGTTTTACTTTATCTCTTGATACTACTGTAAATGGAATTTGAACTCAATTTCAGAATGTTCGTTGCTATAGGCACTTTCCATCTTGCCACCTGTTGAACAACTTGAATTCATTATGTAGGTTTTAAAGGGATTTCTTAGGATTTTCTATGTGCGGTCATGTCAGCTATGAATACACAGAATCTTCTTTTCCAATATGCTTGCCTTTTCTTTCTTTCTCTTGCCTGCTGCCCTGGCTAACACCTCAAGTACAATTGAATAGTAAGTGGTGAAAGTAACATCCTGGCTTTATTCCTGATGGCAGGGGTAAGCATTCTGCAATCTGCTGCCATTAAGTGTGAGGTTACCTGTGGGCTTTTTGTGACTATCCATTATCATATTAATTCCCTTCTATTTCTAGTTTGGTATTTTATCTTAAATGGATGAACAGAACAAAATATTTTTTCGTACATTTACACAATCATCGTAATTTTGTCCTTTTTAAATGGTTCAATTGTTCATTACACGTAGTTACATATGAATTTGCCAATTTACTTGTAAAATTTATCCCCAAATTAATAGCTGTAGCATTTTTATGCTCATCTATGGACATTTGCAGATTGAAGACAATTCCGAGTCCCCCGACGTGCAGGTTAAGGTCACACAAGGCAGCGCTTGCTTTCATCTTTCTGCTCACCCAGAGATGACCAGAGGAGGACAAGGCAGTGGGACGAGCAAGGCAAGCAGCTTGGCCTCGGCCCAGCTGGATAGGCTTGAATACCACTTCTAGTGCCTACTTGTGGGGTGGCCTCAGGCAAATCATTTAGTAGCTCCGAGCCTCATTTTCTCTTTAAAATAAACAGAACCTAGCAGGGTAAGCTGCTTTCGGGACTGAAGGTCATGATATGTTTGAGTTATGCACACAGGCTGGCCTTGATTCGTCGAGCTTTGCTTTCTTGTGCTTTTACAAACTGAAGGCTGTGGCGGCCCTGCTTTGAGCACATCTATCGGCACCATTTTTTGACCAGCATGTGCTCGCTTTGCGATTCTGAGACCTACCGTTACCGCTCATTTATGAGGGTAGAGTGTAAATGTGACTTTTACATGCACAGGAAAACAAGCGTGCACACGTGTGTACATACACACACAGGTACTCCCAGAAGCAATGGCCTGGTGTCTGGCGCTCAGCACTCAATACTGTGAAAAGCAGGAATCCTTGCTTTTGGTTGCTAGCTTCCGCTTGCTAGTCTCCTGTTAATGATTTTTGTGTCTGTAGCCATAATAGGTATTGGTCTCCGGTTTTCCTGCGATCTTTGTTTGGTTTTATATCAGGTTAATACTGGCTTATAAAGTGAGCTGGGAAATGTTCTCACCTCTTCTGTTTTTGGAGAGACTTTCTGAAAGATTGGTGTGAACTATTAATGTTTGGTAGAATAAGCTATGAACCATGTGGAACTAGGATTTTCTTTGTGGGATGTTTTAAAATGAATCCAATCTTATTCGTGGTGCTTGCCAGGTACCCTTTGAACTTACTTTTAGGTGAAACAAAAGGTGGTGATAAGGTGTCTCCTCAGGCCAGTAAGACTCAGTAAGAAAATACACATCATCAAAGGAGACACGTTCAGTGTTTGAAAGAAAAGGTTAAAAGCTAACGGCCAGTGGCAGATGCTGCTGCTGTCCAGCTTTAACAGACCAACGTCCGTCACCCCAATGTGCTTTTGTGACCTCAAGAACAATAAGGTTCTATATAAGCCTGTTCTATATAAGCTCTATATACAAATTTCTTAACTGACATTTGCAGCCATGTCCTATAATCACAAACTAAAGCCTGTATACTTTTAGGTTACATGCTGGCGTGCGTATTTACATATCAAGTCTATCTACAAAAATAATACCTGCAGGGAAGGCAGCGAGGAGAGGAAAAGGCGCTGGTGTTGAAACCCGAAGGTCCCAGTTCTGGTGCCAGCACTAACTTAAATAAGATGCCTCAGCCTGTTTCTCCCACAAGCTGGATGATGACCAAGGTCCCTTCTCTGCTTTACAAACACAGCGACTTCTCCAAGAATGCCTTTCCCATTGTTCTTGCCCCGGCTGGTCAAAATGGAAACACAGCCACATTTGGTTATGCCCACAAAGACAGGCACCCACCCAGCCTTCCTTCTTGTAGAAGAAAGTGGTTCACAAAATCCTAAGAGGAAACCTGAGGTTAAGTAATGCACCTCCAGCATCTCAGAGTCCTGAGCTTGCTCTCAAACAGCGGCTGCTAATTTTCTCTCTACATATACATATTTGCTTTTTACAATCCCCACTCTCCAGGAGCACTGCTGCACACGGGGCACCTACCCAGCTACAACTCTCCAAGCCAAGAAGGTCACTTCTCAGAAATTCTAAGCCCGTCCGAGAAAGCGAAAGGCATCTCGTCGGTGGTTTCCTCGGGCACGTTGCTCCCCCCGGCCTCACTCGAGTAGCGAGCGTGCTGGGCGGAGAAGGCCTGGGCCGTGCGGCTGCAGCGACAGCTGTCCGGCAGCGCGCTGCCCAGGGCGCCCAGATGCGAGTGGTAAACGCCCCTGAAGGAGTCGGGGGACGAGCGGTAGTGCCCGGCGGGGTTGCTGCTGGGGTAGGGGTCGCTGCCGGCCATGCACGTCTGGAAGCAGGTTTTCCTCCCCAGGCTGCGGTGAATGTCCAGCTTAGCGATGAGGGGTTTCCCGACGTTCACCTCCTGCTTCTCCTCCACGGTGTCTTCCAGCCCGGAGTACTGATACGACAGACACACCGTGAAGACCAGATGCTCCTGAGGGGGAGAGCACAGGCTTGGTGTTAGCGACCTGCAAAGACGCGGTCTACAGCGTCTCCTGCAGCGTCGCTCATGCCACAAACCCGCGCTCAGCCAGGCTCCTCTCCCCTGTCCTCCCTCCAGAGCTGGAATTCCAGCTCTGAGCATGCAGAACGGTCCTGTGCTGTATTCCTGGAGAGCTGTGACAGGTAGTGTTCTCCAGGTGTGAGGCTTGGGGCACTAGCTTTACCCCTAGGTCAAAACTGATTTTTTTTTTCTCATACCAATTTTTATTTATTTATTTATTTATTTTTGTGGGACCCTCCCCGGTGGCCGGGGATCGAACTGGCACTGCACAGGCTGCGGACAGCCTCACAACCCAGAGCTCAACCACTGGGCCACCAGGGGAGGCCCCAAAACTGATTGTTTTTTAAAATACTGTGGAGTGATAATGCCCCCTCACAGGTGGAGAAATACCACGGAAGCAGGTAACGGGTTGAATTTCAAAGATGAAGGAGACTGTAAGTGGATTAGTGTCAACAGGGTGACAAGAGCTTTAGACCTGCTGTCTCTGTGTGACTGTCAGTGGCGCCCACTTCATTCCCCAAGTTTTGGCTAATATGTCTGTGGTCATGCAGCTCTAAATGGAAAAACTCAAGCTTGGCAAAGATAGATACTTCTAGTAGAAAGTTCGACCATAAAGAGATAGTTTCTGACTTGTAAATCAACAAGAAACCAAAAAAAAAAAAGATAAATAAATTCCAAATCTAATTTGGAATTAGAAAGTCATGGAGCGAGGAAATGATCATTTGAAAATGCCAAGATATTTTAAAGTAGAATATGCTCTGTCTCTAGACTTTTCAGCTACATGGAGCACAATCACATACTCTCACACAAGAACCCTCAGGCCATTGTCAGGACAGACTGCTCAAGGACAAGCTCACTGATAAGACTCTCTATAGACTGTTTATCTCTAATGAACTGTTTATCTCTTAATGAAGCAGTACATCTACAAATTAATAAAAGGCTTGCATGCCAAAACGAATTTTCTACTTTCATCAAGTTTTCCATTAGTAGTTATAAAAAGGAAAAATAACCACCTTTAATTTTTGCAGTGAACTGAGCCTAGTGTAGAGGCAATGCTTGGGAAGCTCCTTTGATACCAAATAGCTGCCAGTTTCTTCAGGTGTCCCTTTATTTGCATCTTTTGGATCAATATCTAGGTCCTGGGGAAATCAATACATGTCATTAATGAAATCAATGAAAGTCACATCTATGACACTAAGCCACGTTAACCGTGGTTTAACAATGCTCTCTCATGAAGGTTGACCTGAGTAGGTTATCCCGTATGGAGGTCTGGAGAGACCACGAAAACAATGATAGCTAGTGACAACAGGAATTCTAAATTTAACTAACACAGTTAAAAAGTTAGCTCTGAAATGGATAGCTACTTTCAAACTATTCCTAAAAACACTTTTAATTTAAAAATTTATTTATGCATACAGGAACTGGGATGTAGACCAGAGGTGTGGGGAGGTGAGAGGTTTCACCAGAGACAGAGTAGGGAGCAGAACAGGTGGATCTACTGAAATACACTGCTGAGGGGCCTCCCCGGTGGCGCAGTGGTTGAGCGCTGGGTTGCAAGGCTGCCCGCAGCCTCTGCAGCGCCGGTTCAATCCCCGGCCACAGGGTGAGGGTCCCACATGGCGCGCAGACCTCTCCTGCCGCCCGCTGCTCCCCTCAGCAGTGTGCTTCGGTCCTTCTGCCTGCTCTGCTCCCTGCTCTGGCTCAGTGAGTTCTCTCACCCTCCCGCGCTTCTGACTGTACCCAGTGCTTGTATAAATAAATAAATAAATCTTTAAAAAAAAAAAAAAAAAAAAAGAAATACACTGCTGAGGGAAGCTAGTGGGCGAGACAGGAGAGGTCTGCTGTGCCATGTGGGTCAGCTCCCTGGCTGGGGGCAGTAGCTGGCCATAGTTTAATAGCACTGTAACGTAACTCCTGTGCCACCAGGGAGGCACCCTATTTCAAGAAACACTTTTTATCCTATTTAAATTTCCTTTCAAGTTCTGTCCCCCTTTCTTCATCATTTCTGGGAAGGAGGGGGGATTTATGTGATTTGTATTATTTATGAAGAATAAATGGATGTTCCAAAATCAACCCTTCCCTTTTTTCTGCTTTTAGAGCTAACCCCTGGCCAAGAGCAAGAGATCTATTCTGCTCCCCCAGAGAGAAGCCCAGAGCCTCCCTTCAGCCCAATACCCAGGGAGGCCTATGCTCATCCTGGGGACACACCTGTCTAATTTTGGTGGACAAATCTGTCTAATTCTGGGGCATAGGGCAAGCAAGCCCTCCCACTAAGCCTGTCCTCCATGAGTTTCTCTCAGTAGCAAAAGTGATGTTTTGGATTTGTCTTATTCCTTGTCTGCTTCTCAGTTTATGATACCATTCTAGAGTACAGTGTTTACTGGATTCTGTAGACCATTATTAAGTAAATATCATAAATAAATGTTTGGAAAGAACAGAACTAGTTTTCTAGTATATTCCTATGACTTGACAAATAAAACGACTACTGTTTTGATAACATGTTGGAAACAATTGCTTTCAAAAGGGAATTCTTCTTGACGTGTATTTACATACGTACATACATATGTAAATTCCCTCACATTTGCTAATCCAGTTAGTGTAAGAATAGAATTTATGTATAAACACTCATTGGTATTTCAGACTGCTAGATGAAAATACCAATGAGTGTTTATATATAAATTCTATTTGTACATGTATTTCCTTTATATTTACCATCAAGTTTAAGCTTTCATAATTTTAGTCTTTAGCAAGTGAGAACACATTGTTATAGTTTAAATAAAAGAAAAAGAGACTTACAAGTGGAAAATCGGTGACATAGGCATCACACATCACTATATCGGGGGGCTTCTGGACTATACTTGTGTAGATTATCATGACGTTGGAAAACTCAGCTGCAAATCCTAATTGAATCTGAACACCACACTGAAATTTAAGACACATGCTTTCTGGAAGTTCTGGAAAAGAACAATAAGAACAACCTATAAATAATTAAAGAGTGCTTGCTGGGAAGTTTTCTGATAAGCAACAAACAAATATTCTTTATGGGGCAGAATAGAATCAGAGCATTTTTTTTTTTTTTTGTCTGTTTCAAAGTGCTTTGTAATTAGCAGAGTCTATAAAGACATACACAGTTGAAAAAGAGGGGAAGAAGAACCCAAGATTCTGCTGGTCAAGCAAATAAAAATATCTCATTTACTGTCCTAGAGTTTTATACTGCCTTGTAGGTTTTTTTGTCTTGCAGTTTTATAGTGGGAATCAATAAAATTTTTATAGTGATAAAGTAGTTTCCATATAATTGTAGATATTTTTTCACTAATGCCTCAATCTTCATGAAATTAGTTTTTAATGAAGCATTTATGTCACTGAAAAGTTACCTTTAACAATTCTGCTACTCTTGAATTTAATATTTCTGGTTTCATTTTGTTCTGTCATATTTACACACTTATTTATTTTTTTTATGCTTTGAGTTTGCCAGATATAGTAGTTTGAGAATTCCTTGCATATGTGAGTTTTCCATTTATATAGAATATAAATATATTAATTTTACCATAACATTTCTAAAATAAGGCAATGCTATTCTTTAAAATGCTTATCTAGAGCCTCCTTTAAAATGCTTGCAGCAGGCGGTTGAGTGCCGCACTGTGAAGCTGTCCTGCAGCCTCTGCAGTGCGGGTTTGATCCCGGCTGGCCGGCGAGAATCCCACATGGTGAGCAGACCTCTCCTGTCTCGCCCGCTGCTCCCCTCATCAGTGTATTTCTTCAGTCTGTCTGTTCTGTTCCCCACTCTGTCTCTGGTGAATCCTCTCACCCTCCCGCACATCTGGCCTGTACCCTGGTTCTTGTATAAAAATAAATAAATCTTTTAAAAAAATAAAATAAAATGCTTGTCTATTTGATGGGATTAAAAAAGGAAAGAGGGGGCCTCCCTGGTGGCGCAGCGGTTGAGTGCTGGGTTGCAAAGCTGTCCGCGGCCTCTGCAGCGCCAGTTCTATCCCCGGCTGCTCCCCGGCCACCAGAGGAGGGTCCCACATGGCGCACAGACCTCTCCTGCCGCCCGCTGCTCCCCTCAGCAGTGTACTTCGGTCCTTCTGCCTGCTCTGCTCCCCGCTCTGGCTCTGGTGGGTTCTCTCACCCTCCCGCGCTTCTGACTGTACCCAGTGCATGTATAAATAAGCAAACAAACAAATAAATAAATACATGCCTCTTTAAAAAAAATAAAAATAAAAAAGGAAAGAAATACACCATCTTAGTTTTGACTTTCTTTTTTCTAATTACTATTTGAAAATTTAATAACTAAGGAACAAATATAGAAATAGAACCAATTTCTATATTTGTTCCTTAGTTATTAATATATTCTAAATATGCTGAGAGTATATTGTAGATTGTTGAATTTGTATCATTTGCTTATTAATTAAGGGATCTTCTGTTTTTATTTTATCATTTTGCATGAGCACTTCATTATAAAAAATTACTTTGTTGCCAAGAGTTTAGTTTTGGTTTTACTTTATTTTATTTTTTTTTAAAGATTTATTTATTTATAAATACAAGAGCTGGGGTATAGGCTAGAGGTATGGGAGGATGAGAGGATTCACCAGAGACAGTGGGCAACAGAACAGGCAGATTGACTGAAATACACTGCTGAGGGGAGCAGCGGGTGAGTCAACAGAGGTCTGCTGCGCCATGTGAGTAGCTTCCTGGCAGGCTGGGGGATCGAACTCAAAGCTGTAGAGGCTGCAAACAGCTTCATAGGTTGCATCTTAATCCCTTGTGCCACCATGGAGGCCCTTGGTTTCACTTTAGAAAAGGTTTTGCTTACTGATGATCTTTGCCTCTGTGGTTTTGTAGTTGTTTAGAGCTTTTTAAATTGAAAGTAATTTCAATTAATTGTCCAAACATCTGGAATGTCAAGATAATATATTTATGGTATTTTACATTTAATGCACCTTAATATGTTAACTTACCAACAATACACCTTAAAGGGCAGACTATTTTGGAAAGAAAGGTATCACATAGAAATTCAACAAATAATTTTCAATATCCAAATTAGGATTCATAACAGATATTGGGGACCCTTGAGAATCCAAAATCTTTATTTTAGTCAATATTTAAACTTACTTTCCCACTAATCACACGGAATTACTAAAGGTAATTAATTACAAGTATGATTTCCACCTCATCTTTTGTCTCTTGATCACTAACCCAGCAACTCAACGTCAGGGAGAGAGAAGGTGCAGACTGTATAAGCACACAGATCTACGGACCTCCATGCGCGTCTCTCTGCTGCGTGAGCTCACTCAGTATCTACAACCTATGGAGTAAATACAATTTCTCGTTCCCATTTTCTAGATCACATGTTTATCAAGTGGTAGAGACAGGATCGGAATCCAGTCCCATCTAATTTTTGAAATAAACACAATTCAAGAGCTCACAATACAGGAGAATAAAAGGGATTGTACATTATTAAACAGAAAATTATTTTAAAAATTATACTTTGATTTTATCAATGGTGAAAATACTGGGTTGAATAACTCGATTATTTCCAACATCAAATAAATCAGTGTAATATCTATAACTGAAACACTTGCTTTGGGTTTGCCCACTATGGTAAACAATTTCACTACACAATTGGGAGGAAAGCTTTATTGGGGGGAGGGGAGAACGTCATGATTTAAGTATATGACAAAAATAGACTTTACTGTACCGTGTGCCTTGGCCCACTGTAGATTCCGTACCAGAGATTCTGCGGAATATGCTGTTCCCTGTATTGGATCAGTAAGTGCTCTCTTCTCAGATAAACTACTTCGAATTTCTAGAGCTTGTTTCCCTTTGGTAAGGTGACATTTACCCATATCTAAAAGATAAGGAGTATTACTTTTAAGACCTCAGTTCTTTCATTACATTTGAAATATTAAGGTCACAAACTCTCTTATAAACCAGGTAATATTCTCATTATCACATATTCACTCAACACATATTTACTTAGCACCTGTTATGAGTCAGGCATGGTTCAAGGTGCTAGGAATACAGCATAAGCAAACATAAAAATACTGGAACAGCTCACTTCTAAAGGCCCCTGTCTGGCTTTTATATCATTATTATTTTTTTTTTTTACCTTCTGCAACTTCATCCAGTAATACAGTAATTTTCTTGTCTTCTAATAATCTATCTTTTAAAAATTTCATGAAGATTCCATTTGCCAATCCAGAATGCTGGATTTCAAAAGCTTCTGCCCCTTGACATCTAAAAAACAGCAAAAAGAAAAATATTTTAAAAAGCAAACACTTGCTACATGAGACTCCCACATATGCTGATGAGCCTCAGTCCCCACCTCTCCCCGCTGACACCCTAATTAAAGAGTTAATCTCGAAGCAGGAACTAAATACTTCGGGACTTGATGATGGGAAGATATGAAGGATAAACTACTTAAGGTTTTATATCAAGAATATCAAGGAGGCAAATATAGAGGCTAGATGTCTATGGGTATTTCCAGGTCTCTAATCTACAATCAAAAGGAAGTCATCAAAGAATGAAGGACTCGTCCACTTAGACATGAGATCTTCTTACGTGGCATATCCAAACACAATATTGGCAGTGACTTTTAGTGCATCCAAGATTGGAATGGTATCATCATAGTCATTTCTATTTAAAAGGCAGGAAGGGAAAACAACAAATACAAACATGAAAAGTTAACTGGCATTCATTAAAAAAAGCATCATAAAGGTATACTAAAATATGATAAAAGGTTATAACACATAATTTAAAATTATAGACTCAAAATTCCTTTATCTGTTTAGCTATATATTTAGCAACACTGTTGAGACAGCAGAGTCACGTCTTTAAAGCTGGAGCTGGGTTTGAACTCAGGCATTGGACTCTGATCAGTAAAGGCTGAGCAAGTGAAAACTGCAAGTCTGAGGGGAGTGATCACTGGTTCTATTTCTTAGTAACACAAGGTAAACAAACGGGATCCAAAGTTTTAAACAAGTGGTTCAGCTGAACTTTCTGCAACTGCAAGGCCAGGGCTGACTGGAGTGGCCAGAGGCCCTGACTCGGGGTGCTGACTTGGGGTGCCGTTGTTTCTGCTAATTCCAGAACTAGAGACACTTAAAGGCACTTGCAAGAGTAAATGCCCACACCGTTAGGCCTTCACTATTGTTCTATAGCAAACAGAAAAAAAAGATAAATTGAAATATATATGGAGAAATATATTTTCTCTTAGTTTTTTCTTAATCAGTTTCAATCTATAATCTCAAATGAATCTCACAGTTCAGTTTGCCTCAGATTTAATTTCTTATGGCTGCTAACTAACTCCAACAAGCTTTGTTGATGAATATTAGACGTTTTACCTTTTCCTACACATATCCAACAAGAACACATTAAGGCCAGTTTCTTTTTCTTGCATCGATTTCAGTATATTTTGCACACAGAGACAATTCTCAGACCTATATGGATTTGGAGCATCAACAGGGACCATGAAACTGTTCCCAAAGTTTTCATAACCATGTCCTGCATAATATAATAATCCTGAAAAGAAAGATAAAAAGGTAAATACTAATTCTAAATTGTACTCTAAACATGTATGTAGCACTCTTAAAAAAAAAAAAAAGGAAGTATTTTCTTTAAGTCAATGTAAGCTTCCGTAAGAGAAACCCAATTATAAATACAATATTAACAAAATTTTTGTTGAAAATTATTTTGGCTTCATATGAGTACGGTATTTTAAATAAACATCAAGAAACTGTCCTGAAGTGTATTTTAATGCAAAGAAGTAATACAATTGTAATGGATGGTATGTATAATATCTATGTATATTGTTTCTTTGACACAAAGTGGTAACAAAGACAGTAATCATTTACATTTGCATAGTATTTCCATGGTTTTCAAAGTACCTTTATATACTCGAACAGATTGTAATCCATACAACAATCTTTAAATAATTTCTTATTTTTTTTTTAAAGATTTATTTATTTACTTATACAAGCACTGGGTATAGTCAGAAGCGCGGGAGGGTGAGAGAATTCACCAGAGCCAGAGCGGGGAGCAGAACAGGCAGAAGGACTGAAGTACACTGCTCAGGGGAGCAGAGGGCGAGACAGGAGAGGTCTGCCGGGCCATGTGGGGTGCCGGCGGCCGGGGACTGAACCAGCGCTGCAGAGGATGCGGGCAGCTTTGCAGCCCAGCGCTCAACCACTGCGCCACTGGGGAGACCCCAATAATTTCTTTTTTTTAAAGATTGATTTTATTTATTTATGCATACAAGAGCTGGGGTGTCGGCCAGAGGTGCTGGGGGTGAGAGGATTTACCAGAGACAGAGTGGGGAACAGAACAGGCAGATTGACTGAGATATACTGTTGAGGGGATCAGTGGGAGAGACAGGAAAGGTCTGCTGTGCCATGTGGGTCAGTTCCCTGGCCAGGAATCGAACTCATGCTGCAGTGGCTGGCAATAGCTTGATAGTGCTGAGACTTGAACCCCTTGAGCCACCAGGGAGGCCCTCTTTAAATAATGTCTACCTATTTTGTAAATAAGAAAATTAAAATCTAAAAGATGAAATGATTTGCTGAAAATTATGTAGCTGGTAGGTGTCAGGCTCCATATATAGCTTTCCCCCCATTAAACTAAGGGATTTATAATTTTTCTATTAATACAAATCATGTCTTTTATTTCTGTGTCTTACTCGACACCTAGCATATGCCTTTGTTTGGGTTGTGGCTATTACAGAAATGCAGTAAACACCGAATGCACGAAATTATCAATGCAAACACCAACCATGAATGAGTCGGTCTGGAGCTTGTTTTATAAAGAATCTGGCTTTTAGTAGACATGCTTCCATTTCTACAGCTGATCGCACTTTTAGAGAGCCCTGACCAGTGTGCCCAGGCACTGCCCATCCCACCATGTATCACGTCTGGCTCTGTTGACATGACTCGGGAGAAACAACTTTGAGGGAAGGTTTAGCTGCCATCATCCAGGGGCCAGTTAAGTGAGGTCTGTAATTTCAATGTCATATGCCCACTTCTGTAACCACTGAAATTAAGGTACTTAGAACACAATGGCTTTTTCTCACCCTAGAATTTCTTTCTGAAAAGCAGAAGCATTTTGTATCAAAGTTTGCACCTAAATTACTTGGTGGGAGATTTGTAAGCATTTTTATGTAAAATAAACTAGACCAAATCATTGTATTTAAAAAATTCTATCTCTAGTACTGCTTGTTCACTTAATTAAATATCCCCCCATGGACACAGCCCCTCTGGGTGCAGGTGCTGGTTGAAGAAAGTGCTTTGCTTAGATGAACTCCTATACGCCTCGAGACACATCCCGCACAGCGAGGCCGGTAATGAGTAATGATATCACCCATCCCCCTTTTACAGATGTAAAAACTGAGACACCCAAATTCACACGACTAATCAGGGCGAGAGCTGGAACCTGAAGAAGCTGGCCTGGCTAACCACAGTGCTGCGTGCTGTCGCACCTTCGACCTATGCTGGCTTTCCAGTTACCTTTATTCTTAGAAAACACACAGAATGTCAGTGTACTGGCTCTTCTGGCTTCACTTCACTATTACTTTCAAAACCTCCTTGTTGTTTTCAAATAAAATTCTAGGCTGAAACAACAGATGCAAACTGGGATCTCTAGTGGAGGCCTGAGGTAGAAGTCGAAATCCCCCATCTAAGAATGAGAAAAACATTGAATTCAGGAAAGGACCCCAATAACCACAATTATTTTGGGCACTTTCGGTGTACCAAGCAGAGGGATAATGAATTCATCTTGTTTATTCTGGAACAACCTTATTAAATAAGTTAGCCTATCCCTCGTATAAGTACTTTCTGGCTTTGGAAAGTCAAATAACTTGGTCATGATCACTCAGCTGTAAACAGGAAAGCCGAGGCGCTGAGCCCCAGCTGGCTTTCTCTAAGCTTAGCTGAATGACACTAGCCTGAAGGGCTCCTGGGAGTGAGTGAGCCTTCGCCATATTCTGACCAAACACCTTCAACATTTCACCACAAGAGCACAGCTAAGCTGCAGCAAGTGGTGTGTGCAGCAAGGCACTGGGTGGGGCAGATGTCAGACCCTGTAGTTACTCTCTCTCCAATATAAGGTAACTGGACATTGTCATCCTTATTTATTTTCAAACAAATATAGTGTAAGTCAGTCATTTCTGTTCCTGGATTGTGTTTATGATTATGTAGGTTTAAAAGTGAATTATTTTCTGATCTTTCGCATTTTTTCCTTTCTTTTGCAAGCCTATGGGCAATATCATATAAAAGGGCGTACACTCGAGGGTGTTTTCCCTCTCTGAAGTGATTCCTGCTGAATCCTATGACCCTGCCTCCCTACTGCCTCCAGGTACTGTTAGTCCCCTGGGGACATCACCTGGAAGTGAAGGCATAGTCCAGGAGGCAGGCCCTCTGACCTCAGGCCTCTAGCACACTTACATGTAGATGTGTCTCATGTTTGGGAAATTGACAATACTTCAAAATATAATGTAGCCACCCTGTTAAGAAATGAATCAGTAGGATTTTAAAAACTTTCTAGCCTTCTTAAGTCTTCGTATTCTAAACTCCAAGATGATGTTTTTATACTGGGGCAAAGCTTCTACATAAGCTGGACAACTGTTTAGTATTTCTGATTCTGACAATGTCAACAAGAAATGAGAATAAATAGGGCCTCCCCGGTGGCGCAGCGGTTGAGCACTGGGTTGCGAAGCTGCCCGCGGCCTCTGCGGCGCCGGTTCGATCCCCGGCTGCTCCCCGGCCACCGGAGGAGGGTCCCACATGGCGCGCAGACCTCTCCTGCCGCCCGCTGCTCCCCTCAGCAGTGTACTTCGGTCCTTCTGCCTGCTCTGCTCCCCGCTCTGGCTCTGGTGAATTCTCTCACCGTCCCTCGCTTCTGACTGTACCCAGTGCATGTATAAACAAAACAAACAAATAAAATAAATAAATAAATAAATAAAACATGCCTCTATTAAAAAAAAAAAGAGAATAAATAATTCAGAACATAACTCTTCATATCATCCCCTCACTCTGAAAATACTTCACCAATCCAAAACCCTAAACTGATAAACATGTTTATTTTTTTTTTTATTTTTTTTTTTTTTAAAGATTTATTTATTTATTTATACAAGCACTGGGTACAGTCAGAAGCACCGGAGGGTGAGAGAATTCACCAGAGCCAGAGCGGAGAGCAGAGCAGGCAGACTGACGAAGTACACTGCTGAGGGGAGCAGCGGGTGGCAGGAGAGGTCTGCGCGCCATGTGGGACCCTCCTCCGGTGGCCGGGAAGCAGCCGGGGATCGAACCGGCGCCGCAGAGGCCGCGGGCAGCTTCGCAACCCAGCGCTCAACTGCTGCGCCACCGGGGAAGCCCTGATAAACATGTTTAGCTTTTACCTCATTATCATTTTAAAGACTTAAAGTAATATTGATAAATAACATTATTTAGGTTTCAGGTGTACAGACTTTTATCAATACCTGTCTATGTCACCTCATGTTCATCACTGGAACTCTAGTTTCCATCCATTACTAAACTACCTCATTATGTTTGGTGATAATTTGGGGCTTCTCCTATTTAAACTGTCCAGGCACTTTAAAAACTGAGGTAAATTATATGATACAAACTAAAATTACCACGAGTGTACATTTCTATAGTATATTTTATCATATTTTCTAAGAAAAATGAATGGAGGGCCTCCCTGGTGGCACAGGGGTTAAAGTCTCAGCACTATGAAGCTATCACCGGTCACTGCAGTATGAATGCGATTCCTGGCCACAGAGCTAACCCACATGGCACAGCAGACCTCTCCTGTCTCGCCCGCTGCTCCCCTCAGCAGTGTATTTCAGTCAATCTGCCTGTTCTGCTCCCCACTCTGTCTCTGGTGACTCCTCTCACCCCTTGCACCTCTGGCCCAGTTTTCATATGCATGAATAAATAAATGAAAATAAATCTTCAAAAAGAAAAGAGAAAAATGAATGATTCATGTAGTCATCAGGACATACGCTCATAAACAAGATCTTGTTATTACTATATCAGCATTTAGCTGAAATCCCAAATTTGAGGTATTTACTTTGTTGGTTCCTTTGTGTTATGACTAACCTTTACTATTTAGAGGAAACTCACTCAAAATTCATTTAATCAGATTTTAAGTCTTCTCCTATCTCATATACAATAACATACTAAGTCTTGAAAAAAATTATTCTTCTCCTTTAAAATTCTACTTTGAGAATCATTAGCAATTCTATCAAGCTTGCCTCATCATATCCATCTGTTTATAAATAAAAAGGCTAAATTTAGAAATTATTGAAGCAAAATAATGTGAAAGATATAGAAGCCAAATTGATGCTTTTTGTTTGTCAGTCATCTTAACAACAGGCCTAGAAATGTCACTTTCCTGGCAGTCAAGTGTGATTGCATAACTCACAGCAAGCCTCTGACACGGGATCAAGCGAGCTCAGCAGCCGCCTCCTGTGTCTGTGGTTATCCTCATTAAAAGAAATAAATTACTGAAGGAATCCCTTACTATTGACAGCATTTTTCCTCTTTCAAAGTCTTTACCGCATATGTAGTGCTCTTAACATAGTTAAATAAAAGGATGAGGAAAACTATTACAATTTACTGCCACTATAATTATTTCTACATAGAGCTGTCATTTAGAAGTTGTTTTCTTATGCTTCACCCATGGACATTTTCTTATTAAACTCAAGGTTCCACTAACAGATCAGAAAATCCTATGCAATAAGTAGAAAAAGGAAAGAAACACACAGAATGTAGAGTTGGCTACAACCTTTTATATCTCACACACACACACACACACACACACACACACACACAGAGAGAGAGAGAGAGAGAGAAACACACAGAGTATTATTTCACACGGGAGTATATCATTTGCTTTTTGATCAAGTTTTTGCTATACTGTAGCTTCTATAGTCAATAAAAAACAAAATCATGTGACATAGACAGGACTCTAATAATAACAATACTGTTTTGACAAGTTAAAACAATGACTATTCATGTTTTTTTTTGTGGAACTATGGAATGAAGATGAAATCCACCCCTTTTACAAAGAAAAAATATTCAATTCAGTGTGTTTACTGTACTTTTCTTTGATTTTTAACTCTTAATTTAAATTATGCAGAAAAAGGATAGTTCTAGAAACAAAGATTGTAAATATTCGTACCATATACTCCTTTGTCTAGAAGTAGTAAAAATTCATTCACTGCATTCCGCATCTCACGCTCGGTGAGATCCAACAGCGAGACGACTTTGAAATCGAGCTGCCTTAACAAGTTGGTCAGTTCGTACACATCCACCAGAGGGGCTTTTAGCTTGGGGTGATCCCAGTAATTCATATTTCCTATCAGAAGAGCAACCTTGTCCTTTGCTGTTAAGAAAAAAAGGTGGAGAATTAAAAAAAAAAAGATACAAAGATTAAAATAGAACACACGGAAATACTATTATAATAGGCTTTACAGATAAGGTTGCGCTGTTACTTCATTTCACTTCAGCACTATCCCCGTATGCGGCAGACCCATCTGCTCTGCTGAGGAATGCCGAGGCTAATAAATTACACAACTGAAATTAAACTATTGAAGCTTTTGAGACTCTGGCAAAAGCCTTATTGGCTGTGTGTGAAGCATAACGGTACCTAGTATCAAAGCGATACTTTTATTGAGTTACAACGAAACTAAAAAAAAAAAAAAACGTAACTAGACTTTTGCAGCAGCTTTATATAAGGGATGCTTGGAATTGGGTTCCCATCAAGTTAGGTTCTGTCTTGCTGAGAATGGAAGAGGCTGAAACAAGAAGGATTGAAGAGAGGGACAGCAATGGCACCAGAGCAAGGAAGAGAAGAGGGCAAAGGGCAGAGAAAAGCGGGAACTTGACAAGTACTGTGCCTTCATATTTTCAGTTGATGTAGTTTCTTCTTAGCTTCTTTAGAAAAACTTCCCATTAGGGTGAGATGCAGCTACCTTAATGATGTGTGAAGACTTTCTACATGACTCTCTCTCTCTCTTTTGTTTTAAAGATTTATTGTTATACAAGAACCGGGGTACAGGCCAGAGGCACGGGAGGACGAGAGGACCCACCAGAGACAGAGCAGGGAGCAGAACAGGCAGATGGACCGAAGACACTGCTGAGGGGAGCAGCGGGCGAGACAGGAGAGGTCTGTTGCGCCATGTGGATCACCACCCTGGCCAGGGATCGAACTCATGTTGCGGTGGCTGCTGATAGCTTCATAGTGCTGAGACTTAACCTCTTGCACCACCAGGGAGGTCACCAGGGAGGCTGATGTTTTAAAGGGCAGATGATGCCAACAGAAACTTGTTGCTAGGTTTTTCTTGAGGATGGGCAGTGGGGTGTGTGCAATGCATGTGATGATATAATCTACCATGGAGACACCAGGGATCAGTAAAGAAGGTGGACTGAGCATCTGCAAGACCAGCCAGTTGGCTGAAGAGCCACACTGGGTAGGGTTGCAGGCCACCTTCTCTGACACTTGGCCAGGACCTGGTGATCAACCTCTGTCATTAAGTGCTGCTAAGTCATTTATTTATAAATTACTCTAAAGAACACTCTTGTGAAACTGAACTGGGCACAGGGAATCACACAGTCAACTTGGTGTTTGCAATATGTAATGTAATTGCATGTTTCAAATCATGACAATGATTGCATTTCACCAAAAATCTCTTTGGCAAAATTTCTTCTCTTTCCACAGAACACTTAAGTCCAGTGTTAAATAGTGTTTCAAAGAATAGCTCAAAGACTGTGACTTTCTCAAAGTGTCAGCAAAATCCCATTGTGAAAAGCCGTCCTGCTTTTATGTCACAGGGTCTCTCTATATATTTACATTTTCAGAGATTTCTTACAAACTGCCTATTCTTTAAAAAATATATTTTCTTGGGCCTCCCCTAGTGGCGCAGGGGGTTGAGCGCCACGCTGTGAAGCTGTCCGTAGCCTCTGCAGCACCAGTTCCACATGGGTCCCACATGGGACCCATGGTGCGGCAAGGGTCGTCCCACATGGTGCGGCAGACCTCTCCTGTCACATCCGCTGCTCCCCTCAGCAGTGTATTTCGTCAGTCTGCCTGTTCTGTTCCCCGCTCTGTCTCTGGTGAATCCTCTCACCCTCCCATGCATCTGGCCTATACCCCAGTTCTTGTATAAATAAAAATAAAATAAATCTTAAAAAAAAAAGTAAAGAGCTGAGTAGTGACAAAAAAAATTTTTTTCTTCAATTTTTGGACAATATATGATTTCTCCCCTCAGGTGTGGTCACTGTAGTTCTCCCACCACCAAAGCACCCATGGTTCACACCATATTCCCTGTGCTCTTCTGCCCCCACCCCTCCAAGGATGCTTCATCTCTACGGTCAGCTTTCAAGGTTTGTCTTCATCTGAACTTTGTTTGGTTTTCCTATATTCCACCTGTAAATAAAACCATGTGATATTTATCTTTCTCCTTCTACCTTATTTCACTTAGCATAATCCCTTCCAGCTCCACCCATGTTGCTACCAATGGCATGAGTTTATTGTTTTTGATCCCTGAGTACTATTCCATTGTATACACACATCACATCTTCTTGATCCATTTATCTGTTTGGTGGCATTTAGGTTGTTTCCAAATCTTGGCTATTGTACACAGTGCTGCAGTAAGGAGTGCAGGTTTCCTTTCTAATAAGTGTTTTTGTGTTCTTCGGGTAGTTCCTAGGATTGGAATAGCGAGATTGTATGGCAGATCCATTTCTAATATTTTGAGGAACATTTAGCTTTCCATAGAGGTTGGACTTGTTTCCATGCCCACCAGCATTGTAAGAGGGTTCCTTTTTCTCCCATCATTAGCATCAATATGGTCCCTTCTTACATATGTGAGCTGGTATCTCATTATGGTTCTGATTTGCATTTTCCTGGTAACAAGTGATGATGAACATTTTTTCGTATGTCTATTGGCCATTTGCATTTCTTCTTTGGAGAAGTGTCTATTTAGCTCTTCTGCCCAATTTTTTTTTTTTTTTTTGTGGGACTCTCGCTGGCGGCTGGGGAACGAACCAGCACCGCAGAGGCTGTGGGCAGCCTCACAGCCCAGCGCTCAACCACTGCGCCACCAGGGGAGGCCCTCTTCTGCCCATTTTTAATTGGGTTGTTTAATTTGTTTTTGTTCAGTTGTGTGAGCTCTTTGTAGATCTTCAATGTAAGCCCCTTATGAGATGTATGGTATGCTATTTTCCTCCACTCAGTGGGGTGTCTCTTCATTTTGGGCTATCTCTTTTGCTGTACTTATCTTTTTTGTTTGCTTTAATCCCAGCTATTTATATTCTTTGTTTTCCTTGCTTCTGGGAACAAGTTCTCAAAGGTATTCTAAAGTCTATGTCATGGAGTGTCTTGCCTTTGTTTTCTTCTATATAAGTTATGGTTTCAGGTCTTATATCCAAGTCTTTTATCCACTTTGAGTTGATTTTTGTGCATGCTGTGAGAGAGTAGTCTAGTTTCATTGTTTTGCATGTGGCAGTCCAATTTTTCTGGCACCATTTGTTGAAGACACTTTCCTCATTCCAGTGTACATTTTTTGTTCCTTTATCATAGATTAGTTGACCATGTGGGTTTTCTAAATTACTTATTCTTATGAATATGTGTGTGTCTATATATATATTTTAGGAAAAAATGAAATGAGACTGAGAGCATATTTCTAATCCATTAACAGTTACTTTAGTTCTGTACAAATAATAATCTCTTCTTTCACCTGAGCAATAAGGTCAATTACTAAGACTACTCAATATGTAAAGAAATTCAGACCTGAAGCTTCTATTTAACTATGTTTAGTCATAAAACCCAATGAAAACGTTGAGAATACTCAGAATGAATTTCAGTGGGAAGTGGTAGTAAAACTTAACATCATTTTTATCTTTTTTTAAAAATTTTTTCTAAAATAAGCTGAATATGCTCTCTTATACCAAGTACTCATTACACAGCAAGACTGTTGGCTGGCTAATTCAGAGAATTCTCCTGAGAGCCCCTCAGCCCTCTCAGAATTCAGACTCAACCTCAGCACACAGGTGTACCTGCTCAATGAGCTTCACGGGGGCATGAGAGATGGGTCGTCCCTGGCTCGTATCACCACCCCCCAATCCATGGGGCTCCCACTGTCAGTCAGGGGGTCAAGTGCTCGTGCATCACAGTGGATTTTTTGGTGGATTATTATATTTAATTCTAGCACATATCCTCACCTAAGTTTTCCTGGCAGAAAACAATTATAAAGTATGTAATAGAAAAAAAATCACTGGGGGTCTTTGGGGAAAAGAGACACATATGTCAAATTAAACATCATGGGATGTTTCTAATATAAATTCTTCACTCGTCAGTCTTTTTTTTTTTTTTAAAATCTATTTAGAAAGAACACTGGAGTTTACAGAATGCAAGGGTTCAACTTGAGAACTATGTGCCTTTCAATGTATGTATCAGTGATTGCAACTTCTCAAAAATTTTTCCCCAAAGGTAATTTTTAATAACTAGTTTCTAAAATGTCTTAAGAACATTTTCTACAATTCAATGTTAATAATTATAAAATTAAATAAATCTTACCTTGCTCAATTTACTTGTAAAATGGTTCCTGAATGATGAGTAAACTGGGGAGGATTTAGAACAGAGAAGCAGACTGCAGAGGTTGAAAAAGAAATGACAAAGACTCATTCCAGGAAATAAGTTGTAGGAAGAGAGAGAGAAAAAAGTCAGACTTTAGAGCTATGATAGAGAAAGAAACAGTAAAACTTGAAGTTGAGGAGATAAAAGTGAAGAATCAAAGAAAATTTCAAAATAGCAACTCTATAAGCAATTTATGATGGTGTTCAAGGGACCAAAAAATGGAAGGAAAACAATTACTGTAAAAGCCACCCACAATTTCTTGAACACACACTGTTTATTGGAAAAAGGAAACAAAAATGCTAGTTGATGAAGCAGTAGAATAATAAAACCACTTCAGGAAAATATTGTAACATGATCCTAGACATCTTTCAATGCAATGTATTTTATAATATCAATTCCGTATCTAATTTTCTTTTCTTTTTTTTAAAAACATTTCAATGTAAAAAAAATTTTTTATTTTTATATTCCCCATTGCACCCCCCTTATTTTGACCCCAATCTCTCCTTTCCCTGCTCCCTTCCCCCCTCATAGAGTGTCTCTGGTTCATAGTTGTTTGTTGATTTTGATTTTTTCTTTCTTATAGTTATTCTTTTTCATGGTCCCTTATTTAGGTTTTCTAGACTCCTGCTATGAGTGAGACCATGCAGTATTATCTAATTCTCTACCAGTGCATCACTCATCTTATCATCCAAAATGAGCTAAACACTCATAAACACGTGGAAAGGGACCTGGCACATATCAAGTGTTATGTAAGTTTTAATTAAATAAATCTTTGGTCATCTCTCAAAAATTGTGTATTAGCACCTAATCTGACTTGTTGAATGTACAGTCCATGCTGGTCTCATATATAAAATCTTCAACTCTCCATCCTACAAAATATAGTCCAAGTTCCTCAGTCTCCATATGTCACCATTCATATTCCAGTCCCTGCCTATCCTTGCAGCTGGGGTGAAAGACAACCCCCCATGAACTAGGGATCCCTGCCCTCACTTAGTGCAGTCACCCTCACCCCAGCCCCAGGTGCCCACCCCACATCTGGGCTACCTTGTGATTAATTAATTATCAGCACTGTGGCATGACACTGTCAGTTCTAGGTCTAACCCTTGAGTAATCCTGACAATTTCACTCTTTTTTTTTTTTGAAATGGCAATTTCTTTTTCTCTTTTTTTTTTGAAGATTTATTTTTATTTATTTATGCATACAAGAACTGGTTGGTAGGCAGAGGTGTAGGGGGGGCGGTGAGAGGATTCACCAGAGACAGAGTGGGGAGCAGAACAGGCAGATCTACTGAGATACACTGCTGAGAGGAGCATCGGGTGAGACAGGAGAGGTCTGCTGCGCCATGTGGCTATCTGGCAAGGGACAGAACTCCTGCTGTAGTGGCTGCTGATAGCTTCACAGTGCTGAGACTTTAACCCCTTGTGCCACCAGGGAGGCACAATTCTGAGAGTTTCACTTTTGTACTCTAGCCACCATGTAAAGAAATTTCCAGCTACATGGAGGGAGGACAGGAGCGGGGAGAGAGTGAGGCTGACAGAAAGCTACATCACAGGAAAACCGGGGAGCACAATGCTCCTGAGAAGGGCAGCCACTATTCAGCCACAAACAGCAACCACTTTTCAAGAGAATGTTGAAATCTGAATTTTTGTATGCTATCTGCTCAATGATAAGTGATTCTAATTATTAAAAAGCAGTACATGGGCCCACACTGCCAACCCCCCTTATTCCCAGGGCAGTCTGTGCTCTTTTCTGTATGACCTGTAAAGCCTCATGACTCTACCCCTCCGTTCTAACTTCCACCTCTATGCTGATGACACCACAACCATTTCCACCGCGGCCTCTCCTTACAGTTCCGGCTCCACACGCACAAGCGCCTGCTGCACATCTTCACTGAGATGTGCCTCCAACTGCCTAGGTCCCCAAATGAGTCATCTGTCCTCTGAATTTTCTTTGCACTCCATGCTCTCTAACTCAGCACTCACCTAGTGGTCCAAGCAAGAATGGGAGCAAACACAGGGTCCCTCTGTGTCTACGCCCCACAGCAAGGCCATGAAAACATCACTGACCCCATCACATAAAGATCTGTGTTTGTTCTTTGTCTTCGGCATTCTCACTGGTTCTGTCCTACCTTAAAATCTCATTTTGTCCTTGTCTAGGCTATTCCAACAGTCTCCTGATTTTTCTCCCAAACAAAACATCATCTCCACGCAGTTTATTTTTCCCACTGAAATAAGACAAGCATTTCAGAGAGACGTACTCCATTCGCTCCCTCTATCAGTGTCCTTCCAGTGGCTGGCATGAGAAAGGGGATCCACCAGATCTGGCCCCGCCCTATGCCCCCCACCTCTGCATGTGCTAGGGCACTGTGTGTGACCTGCAAGACCGCAAATAAAACCCCAGCTCACTTCTCTACACTCTGTACTTAGGATTTCAAGGTCTCCCTGTCTGGAAAGCCCTTCTATTCATCCTTCAAAGTGCAGACTTGCATTTTCCTTATCTCTAACTCCACCAAAAGACAGTACTAGCCACTTTTGTGTAACATACATATTTCTTTTTTGTTTACATTTTCATTTGTTTTCATGTTGTCAAAACACAGAAATCACTCCACAGAGGCTGGCTTGATCCCAGAAATGAAACTTACCCTCTTTTTAAGCCCCCCATTGTATAAGTTCTTTTACAAATATCCAAAATGAAACATTTGGCCTCAATATTATTCAAATATTTACAAAAAGTGTCAAATTAAAATGTCTTATATCCTTTCATGATCACTGTAAGTCATATACTCTGTCTTTGATCAAGCACTTTAAGATATACTCACCTAAAGGTTGATCATCTGTTTGCTCTTTATTGTCTAGAAAAAAGAAAAACATGCAAAAAAAAAAAAGAGTGTTATTATCTATAATGAAAATATCAGGTTTAGATATATGGAAAGAATGAATAATAACAACAGTAGCATTAAAAGACAAAATGTGGTTTCTATCAGCAAATGACAATTTTAAGAGTTTCAAATTCCTGTTAAAAACACACAGCTGGGTGGACAGAGATGGAATCAGGGCAGGGAATTCCTCTGCTAATTGACCGTCACCGCTGGGGCTAAAATCTTTACCATGCCAGGTAGAAGCAGAGTGTGGCCACCGCGGGCGGCGCTGAGTAAGCAGGTGTCGGTGTCACAGGAGTGATTAACATTCACTGAGAACCTGCCTGGCCCTGTTCTACAAGCTTTAAATATAACTGACTTAAATAATACCTCACTCTGAGGTATATACACCACTATATTATACAGAAAACACCCAGACTACGTTATACAGACAAGGAATCTGAGGCAGATACAGATTAATTCAGTTGCCCAAAGCGGTCAATGTCATTTCCAGTGCATGTGCTTTGCCGCTTACTACACAGAAAATGAACAACTCCCTCAGCCATCAGGAGAGATACAAGGAAAGAAGAAATTTTGTCAGTTATGTGTCTACTACTATAGACAGGGTGATTTTATTTGCATTTTCAATGATCTCCATCCACCTAGATTTTATTGAAAGCTTATTAAGGTTTTTCTTTTTTTAAAACTCAAGATTTTGGGGGGCATCTCTGGTTCTTGAGGAGCAAGGATACGATGAAAGAGCGGCCATGCAAATGTTAGACTCTTGGTGGTGGTTGTTTGCAAAAGTTTTCCTGAAATGACTTTTCATAATGTTCACTGAAAGGCAAGAAATAACGAATTTAGGAAAAGGGGATTCTAATCAGACCAGGAGCAACAATAGCCTGTTACCAGCAAGACGCTGCAGGGCCGCACTGGCCTGGATGTCTGGCTGAGTCTCCTCTGGACTTGAGGACGCCAGCGAGGACAGTGACGCCGGTTTTGTCTAACTTGTGTATACGCAATCAGCACAGCCAGTCACACTCCATTCACAGACATGTGTTAACAAGAGATGAGCATGAAACACAGCAAAATAGTCACAGCGGCGAAATGAGAAGTAATATGGTGAAAAGTAAGCAGGACCCTGCAGGTATCCCGTGATCTACCTGCCTTCTTAGTCTACTCCTGGGAGGTTTTGCTCTCAGGTACATTTGCAGGTTCCATCACTGTCTTTCAGGAAGCTCTTGATCTGTACTGATGCTGCGTCTTTACGCAGGCCTCACGGTTACAATGCCTTTGATCTCAATAAGGTTTTATCTTAAACTTGTTCAAAATTCCGTTCTGATTATAACACGGAGTAAGAAATATTCCTGCCGACCCTATCTCTTCATGGTGACTGACCAACTACTTAATCTAGATAGCACCAACCAACACTCCGGCACACTATCACTTCCCATAAAGACAACCCACCCAGCAAGGTGAGGTTTGTTCTATGACCAAGCCACCTTGAAAGTGGTCCCAGGGTACTGGGGAGGTCAATAATGTCACCTGTCACTCTTTCAAAGGCAGTTTTTTGTCTTTCAAATGAAAAGATCATATACTTGCCCCCCTAACTACCTTTTTATGACTCAGACTCGTACACAATAAAAAATACACTGATATTTCATGTTCCCTCACTGCACTTACTTTTCTACCCTCATAGTCTTTAAAGTAGAATATTTTAAATATTTTCACACATTCATGAAATTGTACTTCCTGTACGTACTAATTTCAACTCCGAATTACATTCTTTAAATAAAGAAGAAAATTACTACATCATAGTAAGACTTATAGTATCCTTATGCTATTATAGCAACGACTTAAAAATCTGCAGCTAAAGTTTCAGTTACTCACCAGGATGTCCAAGGTTATGTAATTCATCTAAAATGAAGAGGAAAGAAATTAACTTTAAATGGTATCGTTCTGATTTAGAACAAGTAGTAAGAGTTAGCCAAATTAGGTTTTAAGCTATTAGTCATAAGACAAGGTTTTATCAATTCAGAACTTTTCAAATGCCTTAAAAGAGAAGCCACGCAAATGCTGGACAGGAAAGAACTTGTCTGTGAATATCACTTAGGTCTTCTGAACTATTTTCACTTTCAGTAAGTGATAAAGAGCTCAACAGACTCATTCATGATTTGTTCAGTTTTAGATATCCTGACCAATTATGAGACAAAAATAGTCAAGATAGATTTTTCTGTGGCCTCAACTATTAACTTCTTGAAGCTAATTAAGTTTCACAATAGTTTAAGATGGACAGAATTACTGTGCAGTGTGGAGAGCTCCCATTTCTACCCATGCTAGTTTCCCTATTTTGAACACCCCTCTTTAGCAGAGAACGTTTGTCAAGATCCTGAATGCTGCCTTTGTGGCCTGGGGTCCTCTCTGGGGGTCCACATTGTTTCTATTTGTAATTCCTTGGCTGCTTCTTTGTTGTATCAGCTTTCTTAGGCATTCCTCATTCTCATGATCTTGAAAGTTTTGAGGATTAAGGTGAGGTACTTTATAGACTGTCTTTCAATAGGAATTTGAACACATTTTCTCATGGCTAGACTAGTGTAATGTGTTCTTGCAGGCATGGTGTCTACAGTATTGTTAACCTGTACTTCCTGGCTAGAGCACAGATAAAACCATCTAAGCAGACTTCCACGGCATTACAGATATCTATTTTTCCATTTATAAATTTTGAGGACAGAAATTAACATAACAATAAATTACAAGCAGCATACTATTCAGAGTATCCAGGAACTTGTGCTTATATGTGATATAAAATCAACTAAAGGGTGGTATCAGTTACAGTCCCGGGCCACGCACAACTTCCTTTGCCTTTAGTATTGAAGCCTTCACTCATTCCCAGCACTGTTCTCCTCTCCCCTCTGCAGGGAGGGTGCTTCACACAGCCTGAACATGTTTAGACTCTTTTGTCACAGTCTGCATTCTCTCCTGGGATCCCCCATACTCAATCCTCTTACTAAGTGGTATTTTAAAAACTTGCACATAGTATTAATAATATCTTATAGAATGGTTTCATGGCCCTAAAAAGTCTCCTAAGCTTCACCTTCTCAATCCTCACCCTACCCCTTGTCCCAATCAATATCTTTAATAAAATACATAAAGTGAAACAGACAACATCATGTCCGACAGGTACAAATGGATGTAGAGAGCTGCTTATGATATGTGTCGATTCATCAAGCTACAAAGCATCTCAACTTTGGAGACTTTTGTAGAGTGAAAAGTTGGATCGACATTTTCTATCAGATATTTTTTGGAGTACTTTCCTGTTGAATTTCTCAAGTGTTCTCAACTTATCTAATGGAAAATTATTGTTTCATAGTGTATGCTACTGCAAAAATTATAGGGATCATCCTGCATGGAAGTAAGTACAGAAAGGTGGTAAGTCACATGTATCACCCTGAGCCAGTTTATTCCTAGAGGTCTCTAACCTCAGGAAGGTTAAGAAAATCATGCAATTAGGGGGAAAAAAGAGAGAAGGAAGAGGGGTTTGGTTAGCATTTCTTCATATAGCTTCCCTCACAGACCATGGGACTGGAATCCCCTGATGCTAGAGAATTTCTGTCCACAACTGTCTGCGGGGATAAAACCAGTGGAATTACAGCATTTCCAGGGGACGCCATGCAGAGATGTAGAACAGGAAGACCAAGAAACATGAGATTTAACATTATTTTCTTTGCCCAAGGGAAGTTTATATGATAAAGAGGCAGAAATTGAAAAAATACTTTGCTATCCATAAACCTAATTTTGTGAAATCAATGATATACCAAGGGAAGATTTAAAATTTATACATTACAACTGATATAAAAAGCTTGGTTAACTGAAACAAATTAGAGGCTCACACTGACATAGATTTTCAGTTCTCCTTCTGTATTATAATAAAGGTGGCATGGTAGATTTACCTATAGCTCGTAGCTTCAAAAAACTGATCTTATCAATTTTATATCAAAGCAGGATATTTACTATTTTATAATATATGTATTAAACAAAAAAACTGTCCTTTACAGAGATTACATCTGCATTTGAGAGGCATCTGATCAAGACTAAAGGGTTGATAAAAATCTGAATGACTATCCAGGACAACAGCCATCTGGCTTCTTTACAAAATTTATGAAGACAAAAATTAAAATGGTAATTTGTAACTGAAAATTAGAATTGTTCGCTATTCATAAAATGTGTAGGAACTTTACTCTTATATGCGATAGAAAATCAACTAAAAGTTATTTTAATAGTTTGTCAGTTTAATAGTGTCTCTACGGAAATTTACAATCCCTCTAAGACTAAGATACAATAACCTTGCATCAAAGTGCTTTCTTATAGCGAGTATTTTTTCCATCACTGCACTCAGTAGACTAGAACATTCCACCAATGCCAAGAGGAGTCAGCATGCAGGGTCTCTGGTTTCAAACCAAAGGATTACACTACCTTCAGTACACTCCACTGCCTCATCTGTTCTTCCTTGTTCCAGAGAAAACAAATGTGAATACACTGTAATTCATAATCTTAGGAATGGCAGCCATCAAGCAAACAAGAAATAAACATCATAGAAATATGCTGACAAATCAATATATGCAGTTTTGTTTCTTAACATAACAAAAAACACACAGCTTAAATAGAATACCCAAATTACAAACTTCATAATGGAAGGACGGTTGATTAATAATCATTCTTTCCTTGATGTCTGCTTTTGAAAAATGTTTCATTAAAAATATTTTCTCAGGCCTCCCTTGGTGGCGCAGCCGTTGAGCGTGCTGGACTGCAAAGCTGCCTGCAGCCTCTGCAGTGCCGGTTTGATCCCTGGCTGCCGGGGAGGGTCCCACATGGCGCACACACCTCTCCTGCCGTGCCCGCTGCTCCCCTCAGCAGTGTACTTTGTTAGTCTGCCTGTTCTGCTCCCCGTTCTGGCTCTGGTGAATTCTCTTACCCTCCCTCACTTCTGACTATACCAGTGCTTGTATAAATAAATAAATAAATCTTTAAAAAAAAAATCTTTTCCCACTGAAATAAGATTTTTTACAGGGAAAATTTCAAAATATAATTCCCCCCATAAATGTTGCAAAATAAACCATCAAATTCAAAACAAAAAACACCTTTTTTTCTGATTCTTTCTGCTTTGTATGTGAACCTACGTGACACATTTACTATGCATTTTCTCAAATTTCTATATAAATATTATAACTCCTGACAACATAATATATTAAATGAAACGGGGTAAAAGAAAAAAGGTAGTAGAATTTGTGTTGCTCAAAAGTTTCATTTCCTTTACAGCTAATACCACACTCTACCTGCCAGAAGGCTGACGCTGCTTACCTATGATGACCTCTACCTTCCTGCTATCTTGGCTGTCTCGGTCATTATATACACGGCACCAGTAGGTCCCCTGATGTTCCAGATCCACATAAGGCACCTACATCAATGTCAGAACACATAGATATTTCCTCTTCAATTTTAATTGACTTGGTGAAGGAGGTTATTTTTTTGGGGGAAAAAAAACCCTTACAAAACAACATCTCAGATGGCTTTAGACACTCTAAGATTATTTCCACTCATTAGGTTAAATATTAGCAAGCAACTAAGAGAAAGATTCCAATAGTGGTGGGTTTGCTGCAATACTACTTGACATCTTATTGTAAATCCTTAGATGTGGCCTGGTATTGTTTTCTAACACTTTTACAATGTAAGAATTAATATTAAATAACAGGGACTTGGAACAAAAATACTGATAACATTAAAGTACCCCAAAGAATAGGAAGTGTAATGGCCACCTTCATTTTCAATAGTACAATTTTGTACAGTAACACAAAAATTACCCACTCCCAGATCAACTTCCTACCATGTACAATTTTTTGGTCTCATGTGTTAATGGTGATTCATTTTTGAACCACTGGTAGTGAGGGATGGGGCTTCCAACAGCGACACACTGCAGGGCCAATGTGCTGCCAGGCGTCAGCTTTTGGGACCTCGGTTCAACACAGATCTGCAACTTGCATTCAGAGACGCCATCCAGACTTTCTTAAATTAAAAAAAAAAAATGATCAAACATAAATAAAATTTCTAGTTTAAGAATGAAAGCAAATTTTTTCACCTTTAATTTGTAAAAAGCTGTGTTTTCAAGTTAACCTTTCATTTTTCACCCCAACAATCTTTAATAGCATCTCCCAAACTGTTTCATGAAACAGGAGCAGTCCTAGGAATATTCAGAAATGATGTGTGGATAAAGCATGCTGTGGAATACTGTGAATTAATCAAGATTTCTTCATTGCAGGATTTCACTCCTTGTTAAAACAAGGAGTTTTGTGATTAGCACACTTACCCTCTGAGTGTCAGTATGTTATCACTAGCACTTCTTCCCAAGACAGTTAGCAGAAGTATTATTTATGAAACACTCATTACCACTCCATGTCTGTGGGGGCAGGCGGTTTGCCAAGGTTATGCCAACCAAGTCTCCATCGTGACAGTCAGTGCCTAACCCACCACTCTTGATGAATAACACTTGTTGAACAACTAAGATTCCATTAAAAATACATTAAAGTTCATTACATGCACAGAAATATGATAGAAATATATCAATCACTCTGTCAATTAATCACAAATACTTTTGGAGACTCCTGAAATGTAGGAAAAGCTAACAAGAGAGAAGAATGAAGACAGATAATAAAAGTCTCTTTCCTTCCCATTGTTGTTGTCTGGCAGAAGTGACAAAGAACATGGTTCTTGACTGTGTGTGAATAAATAATGTCTGGAGGTTATTCTTTGGAGTGGACTTTTCCCTTTGATCGATATTAGTTATTGGTCTAAGAGGATGGATAACAAAGAGGAGAAAGACAGTTTGATGAAAAGCTTTATGGAAGAAAGATGCTGCCATCAACTCCAGAAGTTTTTTTTTCACAATACAAGTTTTTAGAAGTAATGCAATGGTTTGGGAAAAAATACACTGCTTCGGAAAGGACTGAAAAGTGAGGAAGACTATGCTGGAATTTTCTCTCTCTCAAATCAGAGACCACAACCTTCAAATCCAGGAGAAAAGGCAAGTCTGGGAAGGTCAGCAGCAGGGACAGGCTGAGCAGGGTTCTGTGTCATCCTGAGGCGGCTGTGCATATAAATAAATGCACATATTCATGGGCCTTCCTGGTGGCCTAGTGGTTAAGTCTCAGCCTATCACTGCAAAGGCCTGAGTCCCCCCTCCACAGAGCTGACCCACATGGCACAGCAGACCTCTCCTGTCTCCCCCGCTGCTCCCCTCAGCAGTGTATTCAGTAGACCTGCCTGTTCTGCTCTCCACTCGGTCTCTTGTGAATCCCTGCCCTCCCCCCCTCCATCGTAGCACCTCTGGCCTACACCCCAGTTCTTGTATGAATGAATAAATAAAAATAAGTCTTTAAATAAATAAATAAATAAATGCACATATTCAGCCAGAAAGAGAGGACCAAAGCACTGTAGGGTAAAACCTTCACAACTGGTGACATTATTTTGGGGGAAATACATATGTGGGCACTAGGTGCTACTTTTGAAACTTTGAAATTATTTAAAAGTAAATATTTAAAATAATTCCCACCCCAACATTCAGCTTAATTTATCACTTACCCTGGAAGTTTCCCGTTAGTTCTGTGACATCACAAACATCCAGCTGTGACCACTGGCTGAATTCAAAGGTGAAATTATTATTAACTCGACAGACGTAAAAGCCTGCATCTTTCACATGCACTGTGTTGAAAACAAGTTCTGATGCATTTCCGTTTGGAATCTGTAAAAGAATCAGTTAGAGGTTATAAGTGAATGACTCATCAAAGCACACCTATAAGAAAATGTGCTGTGATTTTTTTGGGCTTTAAAAAAGTGTGTGTGTGTATACATATATTTCCAAGTTCTAAAATATTTGTTACTTTAAAACACACATTTTCAGTAACTCAGGATTGCGGTCTTAGAAATCTACAGTCTTTCATAAGCCCGTTAAACAGAGACTTAAGCTTTCTCACACATACCTTTCAAAATTCGCTAACAGAACTTAAAAGCGTTGAGTCATTCACATCTGAAGGGTCTGTCATGGCAGTTCTCACGCGTTAAGAGCCATATGGGATGACACATGCCATGGGGAGCAGCCAGCTTAGTCAGGCCTGGTAATTACTTCAGTTCTGACATGAGCTGTGAGCAGGTAAGCAAGTTATATCACCTCAAGACTCCATTTTCTCCTCTGCAAAATTCTGAGGCTGACAGATTTCTTTTAGGGTCTGGGTGATGGAGTGGCCAACACACAAGTGTCCCAGGCTTCTCCTGGGCTCCGATCACCACCCTCGCTGCCACTGTCCATGTGCCAGGGCGCCGGACTCTGGCACATGACAAGGGGCTCATCAAGCCCCGTGTTATCCTGGCTCCCTTTCAAAGCACTTCAACAGGCTCATTGCTTTTCCTCGCCATACCCCATGCAACTGAGTGAACTCATGGCTTCCCCTGCGCCAGAGCAGAACCTGCACCAGAGCAAGAGCATCTTGCTGGCCCTCTGGCAACTGGGCCAGCAGCCTGCACTGCCGACAGTCCTGCGTGTCGACCCTAAGCCACTCTCCTACAGACCGGTGAGCGCATCCTTCCTTGCTCCTTGGCCTTCCTCAATATGCTTCTCTCAGCCAGACTTCAGAAAGAGACACTCGTCCTCCTGCCACCAAATCGCAAGCCTACCTATGGGTGTACCTGTTTATAACTGTTCTCGCCCCTGATTAAAATGGAAAAGTGTCTTCCTCACAAAGCTTCCTCGGGCTTAGGGTCTGTGCGGTCCCCCTCAGAACCCTTGTACTGGTAAGGTTAATTCAAGCGGAAGCCATCAGGGATTCAAGAGAAGCAGAAAGAAGTATCTACTTACGAAAAGCAGATACTTTTGGAAAATGAGGCTGCCATGAAAAACCCTTTACTCCTAGGCAGGAGACCAAGACCCTCCCCACCCCCACGGCCTATCAGATTCCTCAATAAAATTCCTAAAAACACTGAGGATGATAATGCTACTAATTTTCTGTCATTCTCTCTCCTTATGACAGATGAATGGAAATGTTTTAAAAAAATTACCTCTTTATTCATTTTGAACCACTGATATTGTACAAAAGGGTGTCCAGTTGCCCGGCAACATAACTTCACCAGCTGCCCAGCCAAGACCGCCTTTGATTCTGGGTTTACAGTGATCTTTATTCCTAAAAAAAAAAAAAAAAGTGAAATAAATAAAATCACAGAAGAGGGGTTTTTCTTGTTTATATTTCTGAAACCAGAAATAGGAGTATTCTGGAAATAACCTACATATTCATCCTTGTCATAAATCTCCCATTACATCTCCTTCCCCATCAGATTACGAGTTGGTGAGTTCCAGACATTATAAAACCAGGAGGAAAGAAACTCACCTACAGAAGACTTTGATCTACTGGACTTCCCCGTGGTTGGGGGAGGACATTGTTTGCCATATTTCTTCAATTCTTAGAAATGTTTTTTCCACATTCTAACACCTCTGAAATCAGGCGCCTGAAGCCTGCCAGGCAGCAGCCACAACAGGGTGAACTCTGGGAATACAAGGTCCTAAGTGCACGCGTGGCCAACTGACCGGTGGGTGACACACGTGTTGAAATGCCACCAACAGTGTCTTCCAAAGGCATTGGAATTTCAGTGTGGATGTCTTGCAGCCTTCTCAGACTTCACATGCCCCACGTCCCTCCTGATACAAAATCTCCCCCACCAGACGCCACATCTTCATCCCAGAGACGATAACCCAGTTTCCAGCCTAACCCCGGCAGTCATCCCGCAGCCGTCCTCACGCGTGCACTATCCACAGGTAATTTCTCTGCTGTCCTGCCCTCTTTCCCGGGTCTCACCATCTTCAGGGCCATGATCTTATTCCGAGCCACCATCAGCGCTTGACTGAAGTACCTTAGTCTGTGAACTTGCTTCCTTTCTTCCAGCCAGAGTCAGTGTCTTTTTAAAACAGACTTGAGGGCCTCCCTGGGTGGCGCAGCGGTTGAGCGCTGGGGGGGTTTGATCCCCAGCCCCCGGCCAGGGGCCTACATGGTGCGACAGACCTCGTGCCCGCTGCTCCCCTCAGCAGTGTATTTCATCAGCCTGCCTGTTCTGCTCCCCGCTCTGACTCTAGTGAATTCTCTCACCCTCCCGCACTTCTGACTGTACCCAGTGCTTGTATAAATAAATAAATAAATCTTTAAAAAAAAAAACAAAAAACAGACTTGAATCCATATCACTGCTCTGATGAAAACCCTCCACTGACCTTCCATGGCATTTTTTTTTAAAAGATTTATTTATTTATTTATTTATTTATTTATTTATTTATTTATACAAGCACTGGGTACAGTCAGAAGCGCAGGAGGGTGAGAGAATTCACCAGAGCCAGAGCAGGGAGCAGAGCAGGCAGAAGGACCGAAGTACACTGCTGAGGGGAGCAGCAGGCGGCAGGAGAGGTCTGCGCGCCATGTGGGACCCTCGCCCGGTGGCCGGGGAGCAGCCGGGGATTGAACCGGCGCTGCAGAGGCTGCGGGCAGCTTCGCCACCCAGCGCTCAACCGCTGCACCACCGGGGAGGCCCTTCCATGGTATTTTGAATGAAACCCAAATTCGGCACTGTGGCCGGCAAAGCACTGACCTCTGTGACCCCAGCCCCACCATCCTTGCTCCAGCTCGCCGATCCCCCCTCCACTGGATGCCAGCCTCCCTACTGCCTTTTCACTTACCACTCCTCTACTGGGTTTTCCCTCCAACCCTGCATCATTTCTTGGCACCTTCCTTCTCATCATTAGGTCTCTAAATGAGCTACTGCCCCATGCCCAGTTCTCCACTACATCCCCCGCGCTTTTTGGTCTTCACTAATCATCTGAAATTCCTTCTTCTTGCCTGTCTCACCTACTCAATCAGAGGCTCCTGAGAGTGAGGATTTTTTTTTTTGTCATAGTCACCAGTTCCTTTGGCACCTAAAACCATGCCTGGCATGTGGTGGCACAGTGGGTTCAACTCGTATCCGAGGAATGGGTGTGTACAATTACAGTAAGGAAAGGACTAGCAGCGATTTACTGGCTGCGTTGAAGCTACATGTGCTAGGCACGTAAGAAGGCACATGCAGCTTTCAAAATAACCACAGCAGGGGTGTCCCTGGTGGCGCAAGGGGTTAAGCACCGCACTATGAAGCAATCCACAGCCTCTGCAGCATGAGTTCGATCCCCGGCCAGGAAGTTACCCACATGGTGCAGCAGACCTCTCCTGCCTCGCCTGCTGCTCCCCTCAGCAGTGTATTTCAGTCAGTCTGCCTGTTCTGCTCCCCACTCTCTCTGATGAATCCTTTCACTTCCCACACCTCTGGCCTGTACCCAGCTCTTGTATGCACAGATAACTAAATCTTTTTTTTTTTTTTTTAATTTTTTTTTTTTTTTTTAAATAGAGGCATGCTTTATTTATTTATTTATTTGTTTGTTTGTTTTTTTTTGTTTATACAAGCACTGGGTACAGTCAGAAGCGCGGGAGGGTGAGAGAATTCACCAGAGCCAGAGCAGGGAGCAGAGCAGGCAGAAGGACCGAAGTACACTGCTGAGGGGAGCAGCGGGCGGCAGGAGAGGTCCGCGCGCCATGTGGGACCCTCCTCCAGTGGCCGGGGAGCAGCCGGGGATCGAACCGGCGCCACAGAGGCTGCGGGCAGCTTCGCAACCCAGTGCTCAACCGCTGCGCCACCGGGGAGGCCCCACAGATAACTAAATCTTAAAAAAAAAAACACCAAAATAACCACACCAGCTAATTAATAGAACTATGTTACAAAGAAGCAACTGAAGTTCAGTATATGCAAAAGGTCACCCAAACCATCTTGGCAAATTATTTAACTTTCAGACTAACTCTTTTTTCATTGTGAAATGCAGAACCAGGCTGCAAACCCAGCTTTTCTCAGGTTTCTAAAACCCACATGCTCTTGTTATCCCAATGATTCCTTTTATCCCCCCCTGACCTTGACTAAGGTATAACTGATAAATACAAATTGAGTATATGACTGTATATACTAAGGGTGTACACTGTGATTGTACACTGTGATGATTTAATATGGGTATACACTGTGAAGTAATTACAATGATCCAGTCAGTTAACACATCCACCAACTCAACAGTTATCATTTTCCAGTGACTCCTGACGTGGCTTCCCTGCTAACTCCATCTTCTGCGTGGTGAGCCTCTCCCCAGTGGGTGTGGCCAGCCTGCGCAGAGGTGCCAACAACTTCAGCAGCCTAGTCCTGGTATTTGTACTATTGCTTCACAGACGGAGACCCGAAAGGCAAAATGTGATTTGGAAACTGCCCTTAGTGAGTAGTAGAGAAAAGAAATCGCAAAGCCTCCCGTGTTTTAACCACACATTTCCTTCCTCCCACATAGCCTGTGCGAAGGGAACCGTGGCCACCCTTTAACCACCTTCACACAGCGCCCACTAGTCAGAAGGTGCTAAACAAACGTAGGGAGAGAACATGGCACCGGGGAGCGTGTGCCAAGGCTCTCAAATGAAAGTTGTATTTTAAAGGGTGAATGCACAGCTTCCTGGCAAACAACTCTATTTTCAGATAACATCTGTAAAGAAGCCAAAGAGGTTACTTGATTTCCTGTAAGCCGAGGAGGATCTGACTAGGTAAGATGGAACATGAGGATTGTGCTTTCTACACACACCTATGCAGATCAACAGATACGTGGCATTAAACAAGAAAAACTAAAAACCCCGCTGGAATTCAAAATAGAAATAGGGTGAATCTTGACTTGACAGAGGATTCATCCTTGGCTCCCTTTAAGCTGTCTTCTTTCATAATGCACTTAAATATTGATGTAAGGTAACAAATGACTTTTCCAGGAACAGATCTATTGTATACCTTATAGTGCATTCATTTTTACAAGCCCTGTACCAAAATTTTTTCCCCCAATAGTTGCCATAAAGGTAACCCTCAAGATTATTCTGAGAAGTTCCAAGCTATCATTGAAACAGTCTTCCAGTGTCCTAGAATAAGAACTATTCCTCTTTCTCCAACAATCTACCCCCATTACACAACCAAAATATGTCCAGTTCATGTATATCCCTCTTAGAACATTCTACAACCAACAGATGACCATGTGTTTTCCTCTCACGTCATTTTCATTTACATGGACTCTGACTAAACGTAGACTCATCACATCGTGCCTGGCTCTTCTACATTGTCCATCACCATGAACCCGCTAGCAGGGAAACACATCTCCTAGACCTCACCCACCCCTCCCGTCCTATCTCTACTTCTTCTTTATCCTTAACTCCCATCCATACCATCTTTATCTCTTCATTTTTGATATTTTAATTTGAGAGATTTCTATTGTTTAAGAAACAAGAAAAGCCCCTGTAAGTAAAATACAGTATTTGAGTACTTTCTAATTTGGCAAGAAGAAAAATATTAAAGACTATAGGTCACAGAGGCAATTGAGATAATACCCCATAACTAGATTTCCCAGACAACACAGAAATTTCCAAGCATTATAGAAATGACACTGAGTTCAGGTCGGGGTCAACAGACCTGGGTTCTAACTCTAACTTTGTCAATAACCACCTGTGACTTTGCCAAATAAAAATTTCTGGAAATTTCATTTTTTTCATAAGTGCTTGCTGGTAAAATCTAAATGTTCACAGTAGAGCTGTTCTGTTGCTCCACTGAATTGTGCAGGTAAAATGTGGTTCCCAGGTGTTTTGGAAATGAAAGAACACTATTCAACAATCTTTGCTCTTATTTGAGAGACAGCAAAGTAATAAAAAATAAACTTGGTATCAGAAACCTAACAATGAGTATGCTACAGGGGTTAAAGGAAAAAAGTGAAGTGGTAGGAACTGAAAAAGGAATGAGGTGACTGGAAGAGATTCCAGACTGCCTGTCTCTGTCTTAGCCTCTGACCGGGATGAGCAAAGCAGCTTTCACATGAAGGATGAATCAAACAGCAACATTACAAAGCCAGACTTGGGAAGAACCTTAGGATTCATCTACTGAAACCCAAATGTAAAACCTTATATTTCTCTCTCAGTATCCCCTAGTGTCTAACTCTGGGCAGCCAGTCTAGGTCAGGACACTCCCTGGCAAACATTTTGGAATCTATATAACTCAACTGATGAATCTATACAACTCAACTCAATCTATATAACAACTAATAAATCTTCACGCAGAGTGTTTTTTTTTTTTTTCTTAAAAGAAAACAAAAATGAAGCCACACATCTAAACTCATCTATACTTTTCAAGGACACAGATGCCAAAATTGGTTGTTTTGAGAACAGGGTCCTTGATCCTTCAATGAAATAATAGAGATCCACAAATTCATTACAGACACAGAGGTTCGAAAGAACTGTAGCACATTCATTAACTCTACATGCCTCACACACCCAAATCTAATTGATGTGACCAAAGGAATAAAACAGGGAAGCAATCTATGCCAGAGAAAGGGGCTGGCCACCATCCACATGTGGAAACTCTAAGCAATTCCTCTAATGTGCACTGCTGGCAAGGCCAGATCGGGGCAAGCTGGCAGAGCATGTGTGGTGGAAAAGCCCACCTGGAAAGAGCAGGGAGGGTCTCTCAATTCTATGGGCTCCTGTAGAAAATGTATGACATGGCACAGCCATGAGAGATACTAGGGAATTATCACATGATAATGATGCAGTTCTATAGAAGAACGTTTTCTTCAAAGGAGATGCACGTTGAAGACTTAGGGATAGAGTTTCTGTGACAAACACTGAAGTAGTCTGGCCAAAATATAAACACACACATTTGTATGTATGTATATAGAGAAATGAGATAAAGCAAGTATGAGAAATGTTTATTTTTTCCTAACAGCATGCTTTTGAAATATCGACTGACTAAAAACAACCCTTATGAGTCAGGAAGTCTACACTTCCCAGCTTTCCAAGACCTACTGTAGTGGATTAGATAACGCCTGCTCTGTTGATGCCCATATTGTTCAATTGTTTCTCAGTGGCTCTTCATTCAAAGGAGTAGGAACAGGTAAGTAGGGGGTAGGAACAGTTAACATAGCTAGTTAGATACAATTGTTGTTTGTCATCAATCAGTAAACTTCTTAAGGCAATGTGTATTAGTTTTTATCTCCCAGTGCCTTGAGTAGTATTCAGAGTTTGGAGCCACTGAAATCTGCTAGTGCAGGGCAGTAGTGAGGTGCTGTGCTCTCACACTTTACAGAAATCCAGGGCCTCTGCGAACTTAAGAAATCGCTCTGAGAAATAGGTATGACTTCAATGTCTCACCATGTCCTTCAGTAATTACACTTAATTTCTCTGACCGCTGGCTGCCAAGTCTATAAAAAGAGAGTGCTCCCTACCTTGCAGAGTAGCAGGCGTTACAGGGAACAATGCTGCACCAGTTGCATGTAGACACGACAGAAGCCTGACATCTCATAATCTGTTGTTGATTATAGCCTGAGCTCTGGGATTTCTGATTTTTGAAAGTCTCCCAAATATTCATTTTTGGTCCAGCAAAAATCATATAAGGTGCACTCTAGTTAACCAGTTTTGGTCACGTCTGTCCTTAAAACTGTCACTGTGGCCAAAGAGATGGAATGTGCTAATGTGTCTGGCTTAGTGCCAGGAGTGAAGTTGGGTTGACTCAGTTTTCCAGAAACCACATGGCTCACCACACAAAACTGGGCCTAATGGAAGGAGGAAGGAAACAGCAGGGCCAGGGGTGGAGCGGGAGAGACCTAACATGCAGGATATATTCAAATTGTCCAACTGTCCCCAAAATATCTTCTATAGTTGGTTCTTTGAACTACAATCAATGTTTACACATAATATTTGCTTTTTGTGTATTCTTTAGTCTCACCTGCGGATGGTGGGGGGAGAATGAGGCTCCATATATTTACACTTTCCAAAAATATGTAACAGAAATGGGCTGGTCAAATGAGATATTCTCCTCTAAGTATGTCTCCATGAACTTCTAGAGAACATACCTAAGGGAAAGACCTACCTGGGCGGCTGAGAAGCTGAAGAGCTTCAGTGTACTCCATGGAGAGCAGGAATTCACTGAGTTCCGTGACTGTACACCCTTTTTCACCCATTAGCTTCAGCAAACATAGGCTGGGGCTCCCTTCAGGCTCCAAGACCTTAAGAGAACACTGCTCCAGGTCCAGGCAACTGAAAACAACACATTTAACTCAAGTCAACAATTTCCTTCCATATACTATGCCATGTTTGGTAGCGTTTGCTAGAAGGAATAAACCACAAGCTGTTATATGGTGAAAAATTATTTACATTATGAGATGCTGCTTCCTTTTGCCTTTACGGAGGATTCCTCTTTATTCTCCTCAACTCAGCTCCGCTGACTACTGAATCAGGAAAATGCTCTAAAGAATCTTTACATTTGAAGCAGGATGTAAGAGAAATCTGGCTTCAATATTAACAAAAATTTACCTTTAATTTGGGAATAGGAATTTCTCTACTCTTTCTTGTACTTTAGAGTATAAGATGACCCAGAGAAGTGTGCATCTTGAGGCATATTGAAAAGTGAAGAAAAATCAACATACAAACCAGTGTTTACTATAGACAAAGTAGTTTGCCTGTGTCAATTCATAAGAGAAACAAGAAGATATAAAAAAGCTTGTGTTCTGTATGATACTCTTTTTACTAACAAGAATACATGTGTGTTTTTATATATGCAGAGTACCTTTGAAGATAGCCAAGAAACTGGGCGCCTTTGAGAGGAACCAAAATTATGCTTCCTCTCTACCATAAACTCCTTTGTGCTGCTGAATTTTTCACTATGTGCGCTCATTAAAAAGTGTATTCAATAAGACAATCCATGCTATTGACATTCAAAATACTTTTAAGCATCTAGAAATACCCTAAGAAAGGGAGCAGGTAACCTATGGTGTGTGGGTCAAACCTGTTTAGTCACCGAATTTTCCAATAAAGTTTTATTGGAATTTTCCAATAAAGTTTTATTGGAACATGGTGAGTCTCATTCATTTACACACCTACAGATGTGGATGGCTGCTCTTCCCTTACAACAGCAGAGTTGAGTAATTGGTCTGCAAGTATGAAAGCATTTACTATCTGACCCTTTATGGAAAAAATTGCTGACCCTTGCTCTAAAGACTCTTTACATTCTATCTTTTTAAAGTATTTGACACACATATACAATTTCCTTTTGAATGTTTTTGTGTTCAGTAGTGATATGCAAGGTTAGAAAGATGTTAAGATCTGACTGTAAAAGGCCATAAATAATGGGCCAAGTATGAACAGCAATCATTTTATGGGAAGGGAAAGTGTTAATATGAATTCAACAGAAGGGAAAATAACCTTCCCCAAAAGATATAACCAACAACACAGGCCAAAGCCCTCAGGCAATCTCCCATTATTTACTGTAGAACTTGCACCTAATACACCTCTATGGATTCCTCTTTTGGGCCAACTTGAATTGCAGTCCAATATGAACTCCAGCCTCTCTGTGAGGTCCTCTCAGACCATACCAGTCCACCAAACATACTTTAGACAGCCTTGGAACTGTGGTTATTGCATATGCCAGAGGTGAGGAAAGGTTTTTGTAAAGGTCCAGAGCTTTATGGCCATATTGCATCTGTCACATACTCCTCATTATCTGTCATATTTTTTAAAAAAAGATTTTATTTATTTTGCATACAAGAACTGTTCCCTACTCTGTCTCTGATGAATCCTCTCACCCCTCATACCTCTGGCCTATACCCCAGCTCCTGGATGCATAAATAAATCTTTTAAAAAAATAAAAAGAGGGCCTCCCCGGTGGCGCAGCGGTAGAGCGCTGGGTTGCGAAGCTGCCCGCGGCCTCTGCAGCGCCGGTTCGATCCCCGGCTGCTCCCCGGCCACCGGAGGAGGGTCCCACATGGCGCGCAGACCTCTCCTGCCGCCCGCTGCTCCCCTCAGCAGTGTACTTCGGTCCTTCTGCCTGCTCTGCTCCCCGCTCTGGCTCTGGTGAATTCTCTCACCCTCCCGCACTTCTGACTGTACCCAGTGCATGTATAAACAAAACAAACAAACAAGCAAACAAACAAATAAAGAAAAACATGCCTCTATAAAAAAAAAAAATAAATAAAAAAAATAAAAAGAAAAGCTAGCAAAAGAAAACAAAAAATGGGGACGGTAAAAGATTATTAAGGTTAATTTCTTGATAATGCTTATTCCTAAAACTGTTTTAGCTTTTCCTTAAATGATTTTTTGAATAGCTTCTATTTTGGTAACATGATAATGTCTCCTGTCAATATATTAACTAGGTATTTTTTTTTTCCTGTGTCCTAGTTAAACCAGCCTATTTAAATTCTGTTCCTGTTAAATGTGAATCCTCATATTTTGGGTTAATCATTTCCAAATTCTGGTCTATAGATCAGTTGTAGCACATTCTAAAGTCTAAGAGAAACTGCTAAAAAGAAGGATAATAAAATCTGTTAAAGGAAAGTGTCCTTCCCTGTGTGAAATCATGGTGACCACGTGCAGTAGCAAAATCAGAAAGCCGAGGAGGCGTGTTGGTCCTCTGTTTTGAAGGATTTTCTTGTACGATTCCCTGTATAGTGCCCAAGTCAAGGAAATAGTATTGCAACAATGTCAGGATGGCCAATTTTTCAAATAATTAGAAAGTGGAATTTATAAAAACAAGGATGCTATATGTGAAATGTAATTTCTTATAATTCAGAAAAGTTATCAGGATCTGAAACATGAATTTAAGAAGCAGTCTAGTGAATGCAAACAAGTGGTGCACTAATTAATGTTTATATTGATGTGAAGAAAAGGAAAAACAACTCAGCCCCCAATAAAGATCAAATTGAAGCAGACAGTGCTTTCTCTTCCCACCCATATGCCACAGGAGAAAAACAGAAGTAAACACCTTTTATTGATTTTCTGCCTGGGTACCGGCTTTCAGTTAAGATGATGCATAGATATACTCAATTTTATTTTGTTCCTTTTTTAGTTACTTTCTGTAAGACTGTGCTTTGAAGTGGTTTCTACTAGTCTTAATTTGGAATTTCTGATTTAATCGAGATTACATTATTACTGAAACAAAAGGACTGTGTTTTTTAAAAATATATATATATATATCTATAGTTATCTTTACTTTCCAAAACACACAATCACATAGAACATGTATGCCCTTGAGTGAACAAACCATGGCCCTGCTTTTAAGTTCTTTTGCTCCTCATTTTGGTACATTTACTTTTTGGAGTCTTTATTCATTAATTCAAAAACTACTTATTAGTCACCTATAATGGACCCACACTTGAAGAGGTCGAGGAACAAGTAATGTGGTTCACCTGTGGAGACCATCCCAGGTCACAGTAGATACAAAGACCCTCCTGTGTTTGAGGGAAAAAGCTAACTGCAGCAGCAAGAGGGGGAGATAAGATAATATAAAGGGTGTTTTTACTCTGAGATGGAAAAGACAACTTTATTGGAGGCTGAGTTGTTTTCCCTTTTCTTCACATCAATATAAACATTAATCAGTTAATTAATAAATATTAATTAATTTGAGCAGAAGGGGAGGGATTTAATGATTTGAAAGACTTCTTACTGCTACATTGTGAACAGACTGGGAGTTTGAAAAAAAAAAGCAGAAGTTAGGTGGCTGCTGGAATAGTTCAGGTGAGAGAAAATGGTGTCCTGGCCCAGCATGGCTCAGTGCATGCTGGAATCTAGATGCAGCTGCAGGTACAGCAGACAGGATTTCCTGATAAAATGGGTATAGTGTGCAAAAGCAGAGTCAGGAACAACTCTGAAACTTAGGCCTGATCACTGGAAGGATCCAAGCGCCACACACTGAGGGACAGAAAACTGCCAGACAAATTATGAAGACAGGTTAAGCTCTGGATATGCTGCATTTGCCACGTCTACGAATCACTCAAGAGGAGATGACAATCAGGCATCGGCACATGCGAATCTGGGAATTCAAAGCAAAGATGTGGGCGGAAGATATGAATTGAGAATAATCAACTTTAGTATTTGTAAAGCTATGGCCTAAGGGACATCACCAGGGAAAAGGATGAGGTGAACACGTGTAGAGGAAGCGAGGCAAAGCCTGAGCCCTAAGCATTCCAACATGCGGAGACCGAAGAGATAAAGATGAAGAGGAAAACTTCTGCTCCGCCTTTTACACATGTTCTCATTCCTATCACAAACTGCCTGCAAGCACAGTCTCTGCAGATAAAAGAACACCTTGAATCAGCAGGAAGGCAGGGACTGCATTCCCTGCCCACATTCCACAGCCCCATTCTAAGCTTCGTCCTTCACAGAATTGAGGCAGCCAACAGCACCTCCAGTGAGATCTGCTGTCTTGGGGGCCACCGCAGAATTTATGAGGCCCTGACAAGATACGCAGATCCTTTCCCTACCAATACCAATAGTGAAGGGTGCTCAATGTTTCATCTGTCTGCAATGGGATCAGGGCTGACTTTATAGTTGGGGCATTCCCACATGTGCATGGTTGCCGGGAACTCCGCTATGTGCAAGGACTCACACTGAATCATCAAGGACCATGCGAAAACATACATTATTCCTAATCTCTGATGGACAATTCAGAATGGATTCAGGGTTCATTTATTAAATTCTCATCTAGTTTGAGGAAAGATGTATAGAGTGAGAAATGGTAAAAACAAACAGACTAGGCAATCTTTTGGGATTTTAGAGTTGTGAATTCAGAGATTGAGGGAAAGCATTTCACATCCTCCTGGGAATTGATCTCCACTTAGACTAGACCCTCAAGCTACAATTCCTGTTTGACACTAGAGAAAAGTATTTTTAGGACCTTCTACTCTTCCAGATGCTCATCTGTCGTCAGTATGAAACTAAGCTTTTTTTTTTATATCTTATCAATAGTTTTCAGTAATAAACTTTTGTCACGTCAGTTTAATTCCTCTGATTCAATAGGTATATAAGCGTATTGCTCCCCAATTCTCTTATCTTCAAACTTCTCTTCTCACCTCAACTAACCTAATGTGGACTCACTTTCATCTTCCTGGAAAATTGGTGAAATTCCACTTGTCTCTCAGTGAACTTCCCACCCTGAAACTGTCAGATCTGATCCCACAAAGCCTTTTGTTGCTTGCCACCTCCTAGCATGTGAACTTCTCTCAAGCGTCTACCTGACATGGCCTCAAAAATCTCCCAAACAACACTAACACCTTCCACAGGCTTTAACAAAACCTGACCGAAGGCTGGGGGAGGACAGCTGAATACCTGATGTTAGACCTCAGCTACAGTAAGTACTCAATGGTCCTAGATGATAGATTCTTGGAAATATCAGGGTTAGGCGAAAGGAGATATATAGGAAGGCAGGGTTTCTAATGACACTTCATTCAATGTCATCTGGATTTTCTTACCCTCAAATATGTTGAAAGAAAACAAGTTACTGGAGGACTTGCTCATTTAGTTTCCGCCAGCCATGCTTCCTCGGGATGAAGATGAAGAGGAAAACTTCATCAAAGGATCTTCCTTTGCTTCCTTCATCAACAAACAAACAGGAGTCTTTGCTAGGAAGCCCTCCTCGGGAGAGTCCAGGGCCTTCCCTAACTAGAGTACTAGTTAGTATTACAATGCTCTTACAATGGGGGTGGTCTTACCCCCAAGAGGACACCTTTTACATTATTCTAAGTCTAGAAAATCAGAAATCAGCATCATATTTTGGCTTTTCTTTGCATAGCCACAGGTACAGAGTGTTTTTCCCAGCACAGAAAGAAATCGTGCCACTTGTTAGCTTGACTTTGCCAATTTACCACTTCTTGATGCCATGCTCACATCATTACTTCTCTGTTGGGGGAGATAATCTCAAATCATCATTATTCTTGGGTAACTCCAAACTCTCTGAAACCCAGGGCTGTTACAGGGGTTAGAGTAGATAATGCATGCAAAAAGTAGGTTGCATGGTATACACTAGGTGCTCAATTAATGATAAACCTCATTATTATTAAGCATCCAACATAGCATTTCTTATGTTATTTGCCAATGTCCTACAATAATAGTCAGTTACTAGGTAAGTCCTTACAAATAGGAGCTAAAGTTTTGTGTCATCTTTTTATCTTCTGGAACTTCTAGCAGATAATAGGTACTTAATAAATACTAATTTTGAAAGAATAACTCCCCTGTCAATTCAATAGTATACTAAGATAGGTTTCAGGCAGAAGACACAGAATGTTAAGAGATGGCCCCTGGGCTCATGGAGTTTATAAAGATGTATACAAACAATCATCACACAATACAAAGTCTAGTCATAGGAGAAGTTGAAAAAACTAAAGGGTGGAAGGCAGACCAAAATCAATGACACAGAGCTGGGGTTTTAAGTGTGGACAGAAAACCCCTTGTGCAGGTCCTGAGACCCCTTCAAAGAATCTACAAGCCCAAAATGATTTTTCATAATAACACTAAGGTATTTTATCTTCTTTATTCATTCTCTCAGGAGGGTATTGGAATTTTCAGGATTACATTACACGAATAAAGCCCACTCTGCGATGAAACGAAGAGATTTTCAAAATGTAAAACTTTGCTACCCACTTTTCTTTTGTTTTGGAAAGTTAGTTTTTCCGCAAAAACGTGTTATTTCTTTGAACATGTCATGGGCAATACATTCTTTTTAAGTAAGTTGACATCAAAAGCTCTGTTTTGGTTTTAATTTCCAATACGGTAACTATCAGTCTCTATGCCACAGGTGTATAAAATCTAGAATTCGTGTAAAAACTCTCCTGGGTCTTCAAAAATTCTGAAGCGTGTCAAGGAGGCCTGAGACCAGAAAGCTGCAGACCCTCTGCCAGGCTGCTTAGCCTGGTCTGGGGGGGACGGAGCTTCACTTGTGTAACTAGGCAAGTCAGGGGCGCTGGGCGGGCTGGTCTGCCCGAGCAAGAGAGCGGGCTGAACTCCAGCTCTCCCCGACATGCTCTCCCGACAGACACCTTCGCGTCCCGACCCTCCTGGCTGCCATCACTTCTTTCCCTGCACTTTCCCCGAATTTCCTTGGGTCCCCCAGGTCTGCCTCCGGAGCCCCGTTCTTCTGCACTTTAACGATTCAAGGTCAACCTCTGTGAGTCCAGTTTTTCCGAAGCCCTGCCCGGGGGTCCCCAGCGGCCGGCCCGGCTCCTCCCCCCGCCCGATCTCGAATCTCGGGGTTCAGGCTCGCAAGCTCACTTGGGTTCTCTCCGCGCCCCTCGCCGCCGAGACCCGGGCCCGCCCCGCGCGGACAGCACCCCATCCCCGCGCCCCGGCCCGGACAGCACCCCATCCCCGCGCCCCGGCCCGGACAGCACCCCATTCCCGCGCCAGGAGAGCACCCCATGCCCGCGCCCCGGCCCGGACATCACCCCAACCCCGCGCCCCGGCCCGGACAGCACCCCAACCCCGCGCCCCGGCCCGGACAGCACCCCAACTCCGCGCCCCGGCCCGGCCGCGCACCCCATCCCCGCGCCCCGGCCGCGCACCCCATCCCCGCGCCCCGGCCGCGCACCCCAACCCCGCGCCCCGGCCCGGACAGCACCCCATCCCCGCGCCCCGGCCGCTCACCTGAGCCGCAGGCGCCCCCGACTCCCCGCCACCTCCGCCAGCCTCCGCCAGCCGCGGCCGTCGCACGCCCGGTCCAGGCTCTCGCCGAGCCTCCGCAGCAGCGGCTCGGGCAGGCGGTGCAGGGGCGCGCCGGCCGGGGCGGGGGGCGGCGGCCCCGAGGGCGCGGCCGCGGGCGGCTGCGAGGCCGGGGGCGGCGGGGCCTGCAGCGGCTCCCCCCAGCGCGGCGGGTCCTGCGCCAGCGACCCCGCGACGGGCGCCGCTCCCGCCGGCCGCATCGCGCGCCCGGGCTCGGCGCACCTTCCGCTGCGCGGGGAGGCGGAAGCGCGGCTCGGCGCGCGGCCCGCACCGGAGGAGGAAGCGCCGCTCCCCGCCCGCCGACTCGGTTTGCCGGCCGCGGCCCCGCGGCCTCGCCAGGCGCGGGAGGGGGCGGGGCCGAGGTCGCCCCGCCCCTCAGAGCCGAGGGGGCGGGGCCGCCGGCAGGAAGGGCCGGTGGCCGCCGCGGGGAGGGGCGGGCACTCCAGGGGGCGGGGGTCGAGGTCGCCCCGCCCTCCTCGGAGCCGAGGGGCGGGGCCGCCGGGCAGGAAGGGCCGGCGGTCGCCGGGGGGGAGGGAGCGGCGGAGGAACTACGCCCGGGCGGCTGCGCGGCGGCGCGGAGCCTGCGGCGTCGGGGCTTCCCGGGCCCGTGGGAGGAGGTTGCCTCACGCCAAAGAGGGGCGCGGGCGGCCCGCGTCGCCGACCCCCGGCCGCGCGCCGCTGACGCAGGGGCGCACGTGTGCCCGACGCCGCCACCTGCGCCCGCGTCGGGCGCCGCCCGGGACTTCCTCGTTTTGGGGTAGCCCGTGGGCTTTGTAAGGGAAGTGGTGCCAGAGATGCAGATATTTAATGGAAATTGTCCGGAATCTATATTGTACCTAGACTTAAAAAAGTAAAACAACAGGGCGTCCCCGGTGGCGCAGCGGGTTGAGCGCGGGTTCGATTCCCGGCCGCCCACGGGGATACCCACACAGTACGGCAGACCTCTCCTGGTTCAGCGCGGGTTGATTCCCGGCCGCCAGGGAGCGACGCACAGGCGGGGCAGACCTCTGCTGTCTCGCCTGCTGCTCCCCTCAGCAGTGTATTTCAGTCAGTCTGCCTGTTCTGCTCCCCACTCTGTCCCCCATTCTGTCCCTGATGAATCCTCTCACCCCACCCCCTGACCGCTGGCCTGTACCCCAATTCTTGTATAAATAAATAACTCTTAAAAGCAGAAAGCTCCTGCTTTCCTCTGAATCAGGTTGCCACCCACAGTCTTCATGAAGTGGGGAGCAGATGTCCTTCTGGGAAGCAGGAGGGGAATAAACTTACCTGAGCTTGCTCTCCAGTTGCACCAATATTCAAAACTATGGATAGTTTGGGACAAATGCAAGTGAGTGACTTAGAAGTGTGATCACTTGGCCCAATTTCTGCTGCTGTCAGCTTCGTCATCATGCGGGACAAGAGGATTTTCTGAGGCAATATTTTGGGCCCCCAAATTCTCCCTGCTGTTGGAGAGGTGTTTGCTCCAAGCAATCTCCACCATTTCCCAGGCAAGCTGTCACTGGGCTTTCTCATCCAGTGTGAGTTTAGAATTCAGAATGAGGGATAATGGCTAAGAGTGTGACCTCTGGATCCAGAAGATCTGCTGGGTTCTGGTTTTTTGACCTTGTATAAGTTAGTTACTTCTTTGTCGCATCTGTTTAGATGACTGAAAGTATGGTATCTAGAGAGCTGTAACCACAATAAAAGGAGTTGCTGCGTGTGGAGCACTTATCTCTCCTTGACCTGCAGCGGACAGTGTGGGCTACTACCCTTAGAAATGCGCGAACCTGTCTTATTCTCAGTTTGATTTGGCAGATCTCTTTCAGTCAATTCCTGTGCCCTCCTGCTTTGTCTTCAATCACCGAACAACTATTTCACGAAGTATTAAAAGCGTGTGCCAATAATGTCTGTCTTACTGGTCTAGTCTGTGTTCGTTGCATCTTCCAGTCCTTCACAATTGAGATTGAACAGATTTCCTATTAATAAGTCTACCTTGTGCAAGATAGTGTTTATGCAATTTCCTATACGTGCGTGTGGGTTAAAATGGGCACCTGTTTAACTTGGGAGTATCTTTCTCAATTTGATCACGTGTGCCTTTATTCAAGACAGCCTCATCTGCCACTGTGCTAATCCTTCCCAGTTCCTCTCCTGCTTCTTTCAGGTGCGTGCTCCCCTCCTCTCTCAGTTCATGCTGGTAATTGCTCTGTTTGCCACCTAGCAATTTTATCTCCTATGCAGTTACTCAATCTGCCACCCTCCAGCCTCTACCTTGGACTGACAGCACCTTTTATGACTGGTCTTTCTCTCCTCGCAGTCAAATATTATTATTTTTATTAGGTAATTCACTCCTGTGGGTCCTTTGTGGGGCATAATGTAACATTTAGTGCTTGCCCAGTATTTGAATCTTGATGCTGCCACTTATTCCTGGTGTGACCCTAGGTGAGTTACTTAACCTCTCAACTTCAATTTCCACATCTTTCAAACGATTGTTGTGAGGACTATAGGAGATAACATATATGCAAATATAAAGTGTCTGGAAGAAGTAGCTATGTCTATGAATGTGCTCAAAATTGCCATAGTAATTTCAAGAACAGTGTGAATGACAGTAATTCACCTTCCCTTTCTGTATCATTCATTGTGTTTATGTAAAGATAGATGGCAAATTGAGTGTGAAGATCTGGCCTTTAAATGCCCCTTAGAAGTTCAGGCATGTTTTCAGATACCATACTGGGGAGTTTTCCCTCATTAGTTGAAAGTGACATAGATTTGTCAATCCGGACAATTTTGCAGGAAGCTCCTGGTTTCGTTCTATGGGAATTCATTGATGTAATCTTCAAAACACAGACGTATTTGGAAACTGACTCACAGATTTTGTTTCCTTTACATAATTTGACGATAGAGAGTACTCTAACTGAAAATACCAGAACAACATATCATTTCATATCTGGACAGATTATAATAGGCCAAGTGCAGGAGAAAACCTCCAGGTCCTTGGAGGGGTAAACAGGCACACCTCATTACATCTGCAGATGCACGCTTTTTATGAATTGAAGGTTTGTGGTAATATGTGCCCAAGTCTGTGGGTGCCGTATTTTCAACAGCTCAGATGATGGGCAGCTTTTTTAAAACCAATAAAGTATTTTTAATTAAAGTATGTACATTTTGGGGGGACATAATTCTACTGCTTAATATACTACAACATACTGTAAATTTTTTTTTAAAATAAAACATTTTTTAAAAAGATTTATTTATTTATACAAGCACTGGGTACAGTCAGAAGCGCGGGAGGGTGAGAGAATTCATCAGAGCCAGAGCGGGGAGCAGAACAGGCAGAAGGACCAAAGTACACTGCTGAGGGGAGCAGCGGGCGGCAGGAGAGGTCTGTGCGCCATGTGGGACCCTCCTGCGGTGGCCGGGGAGCAGCCAGGGATGGAACCAGCGCTGCAGAGGCTGAGGGCAGCTTTGCAACCCAGTGCTCAACCACTGCGCCACCGGGGAGGCCCAATAAAACATTTTTTTATTGAGGTAACATTGGTTCACAACCTCGTATGTGACTTAAAAGAATAGGATCACCCCCTCCAGTTATTGTTAGCACACCACACCCATCACTACGATACCCATAGTCCTCCACCATAGTCCACTGTACTCCCTTCCACTTTACTGTCTCCCTCTGGTAGCCTCAGATTTCTAGGGTTTGTTATTGGTTTGGCTTTATCTGACCCTTTGTTTTTTTATATTCCACATACAAGTGACACCATCTAGTATTTTTCTTTCTTTTTCTGATTTATTTTTCTTAGCATAATCCCCTGCAGTTCCATTTATGTTTTCTCAAATGATAAGACTTCATCTTTTTTATAGCTGCATAGTATCCCATTGTATATGTATACATCTTCCTAATCCACTGATCTGTCTTTGGGCAATTAGGTTGTTTCTATAATTTGGTTATTGCAAATAGTGCTGTAATAAACACAGGAGTGCATATATTTCTTTAAAACAGTTACTGTAAATGTAACTTTTATATGCTCTGAGAAACCAAAAAAAATCCATGTGACTTGTTTTATTTCAATATTGGCTTTATGGCAGTAGTCTGGAAATGATTCTGCAGTATCTCTAGGGTTTGCCTGTGCCACAGAAGGAATGGGAACAGGAGTTTTGTGATTTAAGATATTTTTGTCTCCTGCCCTCATTCCATGCCCAGCACCCCTCCCGACCTCTGGCTCAGCCTCTGTGTTGAAGCCACTCAGGATCCCTGTAGATTCAAGACTCTCTACATCCCTCTCTGCTGCCATCTCCCAAAGAATAAGGTGGTTTTTCCCATTTTAATTTTAACCGGAATAGTAACTAAACAGCGCACAAATACTCACACCTTCCCTTCCTGATGAATCACCCAGGCTGAAATAGTTGATGTTGACCATGACAGACTTCATTTACTTGTCTACATTCATTCATTCATTTACTCATTAAAGAATATTTATGGGCTACCTACCTTGTGCTTAGCTCTGTGCCAAATACTCTGTGTGAAAGATAGTTTTTGTTTTATTTTCTTTATAGATTTTTTGATTCACAGTAACACTGAGGGAAAGATACAGAAATTTCACATACACCTTCAGAGACTGCCAACCAACCTCTCCCATTGTCAACATTCCTACCAGGGTGGTGCATTTGTTACAAACGATGAGCCTACATTGACACATCAGAATCACCCTAAGTCCAAAGTTTACATTAGGGTTTGCTCTTGGTGTTGTACAATATGAGGACAATTGCCAAACTTTTTAGTAAAATTTATCTCTTTAGTATTTAGCCATGATCCTAATAAGCATGGAGAAAAGAGGGACAAATTCAAGAGCGACCTGAATAACTTTGCACAATCTATGACAGCGTCAGATTGCATGAATCACTATGCCTCAAAGAGTGTGGTTCAAACGTTTAAATGTATTCTTCAGAGATTGTTTTAATGAGGAAGGAATGAAACAAGCATTTCTAGTGTGAGCAGTATTGTACAAAGTGCAACAGACAGGGCCAAGGGATTAGGAGATTGTTGTTCAATGAGTAAACTTGAAAGGTGGAGAGGACAAACTACTCCCCAAGGAAGAATTGTGGAAATATTTGTCATCAGCAGTTTCTCCATGAGATGATAGAACTAAATAAAAGAGGATTTGAATGACTGGCGAACACTCAGCAGTGCAAGGGACCTCTTCAGAAACAACTCACCTGATTGGCCTGAGTTCAGAGATGGAGCTTG